GAGTGGTATTTTATAAAGAGGCAGTTTTTGAGTCCGGAATGTGTTTGGAAGCTCCAAGGTATCAATTAGAATAAGCATCCCAATAAGATTTTTTCATTTGGTTCTGAGAGAAACAGGATTGGGGCGGTTGAAAGTTCCCGTAAATGGCTGTTGAGATTCTGAATTACGTGGGGGTGAAGTCAATCCATATAGTTAAAAATGTGCCTGAGGAAGGGTCATAGTTTTTAAACATAAAACCAACCAGGATCCCTGAAAGGAAGGCTATCCTTGAAGTATTTAGGTGACCGAGGTCCCATTTCTCAGCTTTTTTCAAGAGCAAAAGAAAAATCCCTAGATAGTCTGCTTTCAATGGAATTTAACCAAAATTCCAGCACACTTCCAGCAGGGAGGACAAATGGGGGAATACCAGCCAAAGGGGAGCCTGGTGGGAGTCTGTGGGGTCAAAAAGAATCGGGCACGCTTAGCGACTATACAACAGCAACCCACCAGAAGGACAAAGCCATCTCCAGAAGAAAAAAACCATGTCCCAGGCAAAGTCAAGAACCTAACCAGAAGAAGGGGCTCGACCTGAGAGGGGACTTGCTGGCTGGCCTGCAAGGAGGAGGACTTGAAAGAGGGGAGCATGGGGCAAGGGCAGCTGCCCCCCGCAGTTCCAAGGTTCATCTCTGCCAGACCCCACTTCTTTTTTTTTTAATATTAATTTATTTATTTTAATTGGAGGCTAATTACTTTACAGTATTATAGTGGTTTTTGCCATACATTGATTCATGTCAATCAGCCACAGGCGCACATGTGTTTGTTCCCCATCCAGAACCCCCCTCCACCTCCCTCCCCGTTCCATCCCTCTGGGTCATCCCAGTGCACCAGCCCCGAGCACCCTGTCTCATGCATCGAACCTGGACTGGTTATTCGTTTCACATATAATATAGATGCTTCAATGCCATTCTCCCAAATCATCCCACCCTCACCCTCTCCCACAGAGTCCAAAAGACTGTTCTATACATGTGTCTCTCTTGCTGTCTCCCTTATAGGGTTATCATTACCATCTTTCTAAATTCCATATATATGCGTTAGTATACTGTATTGGTGTTTTTCTTTCTGGCTTACTTCACTCTGTATTATAGGCTCCAGTTTCATCCACCTCACTAGAACTGATTCAAATGTATTCTTTTTAATGGCTGAGTAATATTCCATTGTTTATATGTACCATAGCCTTCTTATCCATTCGTCTGCTGATGGACATCTAGATTGCTTCCATGTCCTGGCTATTATAAACAGTGCTGTGATGAACATTGGGGTACATGTGTCTCTTTCAATTCTGTTTTCCTCGGTGTGTATGCCCAGTAGTGGGATTGCTGGGTCATATGGCAGTCCTATTTCCAATTTTTTAAGGAATCTCCACACTGTTGTCTATAGTGGCTGTACTAGTTTGCATTCCCACCAACAGAGTAAGAGGGTTCCCTTTGCTCCACACCCTCTCCAGCATTTATTGCTTATAGACTTTTGGATAGCAGCCATTCTGACTGGCATGAAATGGTACCTCATTGTGGTTTTGATTTGCATTTCTCTGATAATGAGTGATGTTGAGCATCTTTTCATGTGTTTGTTAGCCATCTGTATGTCTTCTTTAGAGAAATGTCTATTTAGCCCATTTTTTGATTGGGTCTTTTATTTTTCTGGAATTGAGCTGCAGGAGTTGCTTGTATATTTTTGAGATTAATTCTTTGTCAGTTGTTTCATTTGCTATTATTTTCTCCCATTCTGAAGGCTGTCTTTTCACCTTGCTTATAGTTTCCTTTGTTGTGCAAAAGCTTTTAAATTTAATTAGGTCCCATTTGTTTATTTTTGCTTTTATTTCCAATATTCTGGGAGGTGCAGACCCCACTTCTGAACACCATGTGATGTCAGCCTTAAATAAAGCAGTCAGTTGTTTTACCCTTGGAATGAGCTGATTGCAGAATGGCAGAGGAATTGCTTTTGGGACAGGCATGCTGGGGAGAGCATGGGTGAGTCAGGACGAAGGAGAGAGAAGAACCTCACTTTATAGAGAAGAGGGGGGCTACTCTGAACCACAGTCCACTGGAGGAGAGAGGGGGTTCAGGGTGGTGACAGTGTCTCTGTGGCTGGGGTGAAGGGAGGGCGTGCCTAAGGGCGCCCTCAGGGACCCGGCTCCATTTTATTTTTTGTATGTAAATTTTTAAAATTTTTTAGAACTTTTTGTTTTGTGTTGAGGTATAGCTGATTAACAATGTTGTGAGAATTTCAGGTGAACAGCAAAGGGCCTCAGCCATACATATACATGTGTCCATTCCCCCAAACTCCCCTCCCTTCCAGGCTGCCGCATAACATTGAGTAGAGTTCCCTGTACCATACAGTAGGTCCTTGTTGATTATCTGTTTCAAATATAGCAATGTGTACAGGTCCATCCCATGCTCCCTAACTATCCCTCCCCCGAACCTCCCCAGCAACCATAGTTCATTCTCTAAGTCTGTGAGTCTCTTTCTATTTTGTAAGTAAGTTCAGTTGTATCATTTCTTTTTAGAGTCCACATATAAGGTATGTCATATGATATTTCTTCCTCTTTGTCTGACTTACTTCACTCAGTATGACTCTCTGTAGGTCCATCCATGTCCTGCAAATGACATTATTTCATTCTTTTTAATGACTGAGTAATATTCCATTGTATATATGTACCATATCTTCTTTATCCATTCCTGTGTCTTGGCTATTGTAAACAGTGCTGCAGTGAACATTGGGGTGCATGGATCCTTTTGGATCATGTTTTTCTCTAGATACATGCCCAGGAGTGGGATTTCAGGTTCGTATGGTAGCTCTAGTTTTAGTTTTTTAAGGAACCTCCATGCTGTTCTCCATAGTGTCCATACCAATTTATATTCCCACCTACTGTGTAGGAGGGTTCCCTTCTTGCCACACCTTCCCCAGCATTTATTGTTTGTGGATTTTTTTTATGATAACCATTCTGGCTGAGATGAGGTGATGTCTCACTGTAGATTTGATTTGCATTGCTCTAATGATTAGTGATGTTGAGCATCTTTTCTTGTGCCTATTGGCCATCTGTATGTCCTCTTTGGAGAAACGTCTGTTCAAGTCTTCTCTGGCTCCATTTTGCATGGGGTTTCCCTTCATTGCTTTTCAGTGTGTTGTCCTTTCTTTTAATCAGTTTGAGGGGTAGTATTGATTCATCTATAAACTCTCAAAAAGCTACCTTTGAATAGCTAGATCATAGCCTTTTTTTTTTTTTCCGTCACACTGCATGGCTTTCAGGATCTTTGTTTCCCAACAGGCATGGACAGCATCAAACTCTGGCCACAGCAGTAAAAACATCACATCCTAACCACTGTACCACCAGGGAATTCTCATAGCTTTTTTTTTTTTTAAGGGTTTTAAAATACACAACTTCAGAATTTTGTCAGTAGTCTTAGTTTTCCTTAAACAGTTTTGTTGCTGTTTTTTTTTTTTAATAATAAAGGATTTTGTTTCACACAGATTACTGTGTCCCTATGTCTAGAGTGGTCTCACCACCAATTAACAGCATCTGTGCCCTGCATTGAGAAACAGTAAACATCTTGAATGTCTATAGCAGTGCTTGGCCGAAGGGTATGCGAAGCTCAAGTTTCTAGGTTCCCCACTTCCTTGCTGTCCTGCCCCACGTGTGTCTCTCTTAACAAAAGTGGCAGTTTTGAAAACTCAGGAAATCCCAGGGATCTCACCCCAGAATAAGAGTGTTCTGTCCGTCATTTCTGGCCGCACTTCGTCAATCAAACAGAAATGCGCACAGCCCCGTCTGCTCAGCCTAATGTTCCTTCCTGTGCTTTCCTTCTCTCAGGACAGGCAGGAGGCTGGCAGGCGGGTCGGGGAGCTGGGGAGCGTGTTCGTCTGTGCGGTGTCTCACGCCTCTCAGATGCCTGTGTGCAGCGTCAGGTCACCTATGAGACGCGCAAGTTCAGGCTTAGGGTGGTGTGTGCTTGTGGTTCCTCACCGAGGGGAAGTTTTCAAAGCCGTGGGGTCGGGGGCATGCCCCATGCACAGTGAGTCTGCATAGGGAAGGGAGCCTGGAACCCTACCCAGGGCATAGACAGGGCAGGAAGGGCCAGGTCAGTACCAGCAGGTGCATGTGGCACTCAGCCTCATGGAAGTCAGTGGTGACCTGTGATGTTGGCTGAGTGGGCAGCTAAGAAATGAGGTGGGGCCTGGGGAGGGGGGATGGGTCACAGGAGGCTCCCCGGGCTGTCTGGAGTGTGTGTGTAGCTGTCTGGAGGGGTGTAGTGGGGCGGCTGAGAGGAGAGGCAGGAGAGGGCAAGGTGGGCCAGCAGCCAGGTCACCGCTGTGCTCTCAGGCATCGTGACATGTGCTGGAGGGGCACTGCCTACTGCCCCATCCTCGGGACTTCCCTGGCTTCAGTAGCCCCTGGACACCTGCTGCTAGGCACACCCAGCCTGGCTTGCTCGGCACATGCCCTGCCCACTGTCAGAGCCTTGCGTTATCTCCCTGGTCATGACTTTGTACTGCAGCATGAGGTTTCTGATGGCTGTGTACCTTCTGAGCAAAACTGATGCTCCAATGGGGACAGCCACAGGCTTCTCCTCCAGGCTGCTGAGTGAGCGTGAGAGGCACTCATGACATATTGCTCGTTGCTCACTCCACTCAGGATTCTATAAAGCGAGGGGTTTCCTCAAGTGTGTGGTTCCAGCGGGAAATCCTCTGGCTCACTTGTTTATCTCTTGTGTTTATCTCATGATAAACTTTGGGTTTCATTTCAAACCACAAACTAGCCGCTCCAAGTTTGATTCACTCTGGGGGCCTGGCAGACCCCACTCTGAGTTCCAGCTATGACTGGAAGGCTTTGAGAGGGCCAGGACCGGGGTTCTTACAACATCAGAACCCACAGAGCTGCCCCATTACCTGGACGCATGGGCGGGTACTGCCTGAAACCCTCCATGGTGATCCTGCAGGAAAAACAGAACTGTGCTTGCTTTCAGGTTTTGTCAGTTCCCACAAGAAATTGTTCTTCAGATGGTGGAGCGATGTCGAATAAGGAAGCTGCAGCTGCTCGCGCATCAGTACATGATCCCCAGCAAAGTTGAGTTCTACATCAGTGAGAGCCTGCCCGAGTACTTCACCCCGTATCAAGCAGAGCGGTTCCGGAGGCTTGGGTAAGGGTGGAATTTAGCATGTATGGTGGGGATGTCTAGCCTGAACAATTCTGCCCCAAAGTGGGTAAACACTACAGCATCGCCCCTTGCCATGGCGCTTGCTCACACACTTCTGCACACCTGTCGCTTGCCTAGCGTCTTCACTGAGCAACGTTCCCACTGATCTGTCGTGTTCAGGCTGCTTTTCAGATGCAGAACTTGTCTGATGAACACTGTTTAGCATTTGACTTCTGGACTTTGCCCAAGGTTTTTTGTTGTTTTTTTTTTCATTCCAAGCCTAACTTTCCTTGAAACCTGTGGAGTTCATTGGGAGCCGCGGGCAGCACATTTCTACACTGACGTGGTTCCACAGTTGTGTTCTTTCTTCCAGCTATGTATCTCTCTGTGACAATGAGAAGACAGGCTGCAAAGCCCGAGAACTGAAGTCGGTGTATGTGGACGCAGTGGGGCAGTTTCTGAAGCTCATATTTCACCAAAACCACGTCAACAAGTACAATGTGTATAACCAGGTGAGACGCGTGGGCCTGCCCCTCAGTGGTGTCTCCCTTCATAAAAGCACCTGGACTCTTCCTTCAAGGTGGTGTCTGTGGGACAGTGCTAGGCTCTCTGGAGCTGTTCCTCCGATTCAGAGCCACCAGTCACGTGTGGCCATGTACACTGGGGGCGTGACTGGTCCATGGGCATGGGCTGGGTGTGTCACCCAGACTCCGTAACAAGATGAGACATTTTTGCATTTTGGATGTATTCCGTAACAAGATGAGACATTTTGGATGTATTAAGTTTAAATATATTGTTACAATCGATTTTAACTGTTTCTTTTAAACTTTTTTTACTCTGCCAACTAGAAAACTTAAAATTATCTATGTGGCATCATATTTCTATTGGACGACACTGTTCTAGATAGACTTTTGTAAGGTAGACACATTCTAGGTAGACTTTTGTAAGGTAAATCCCCTGATGGAAATTGGGAAGGTGGTTTCATGTGACATGCAGTCCAGAATCTCTCTGGTTCCCTTTCTGTTGCTTTGGCATAATTAACACAGTGGAAATAAGAGGTGTCAGAGCAGTCTTGTTAATTGAAGCAGATATTTATAACACTCCTTGCCCTTCCAGAGGCATGCACGTGTTCCAGCCAGAGTTTATGCTGAGGAGATGAGCTGGAGGAGGGTCTGAGACAGAGTCAGGTGCCTTGTCCATACATGACAGCAGAGTTCTGAACCATCTCTTCCCTCCACTTCATCTCTTTGTTCACCAGGAGTTCCTTGGGTTTTAGCTCAGCCTCAGTGAGTCTTGAGGGCAGGGGCATGTCACAGGAGAATCACTGCCTTGGACAAACCGCTACGTTAATGTCGGTTTTCATTCATTGTCTAACTTACCACCATCAGGTAGATATGATCCCATTCTTAACTTAGGTGGATGTTTCAATATAAGGCTGCATTAAAACTTTGTTACTGTTTTAACACCCTTCAAACATTAAAATAGTTACTTGGTTTAACATTAGAATATTATATAATTTGAAAATCATTAGTAATTCTATGTTAGCATGAGATTTTGCAGTTAGTGCATTTAGATGTGCATCATCCCATTTGATGCATGAATGCTGATGAATCAGAGTGTTATAAAGGGGTTAAGTCCTGTCTAACATTTATACTTAATTTCCATTGGTGATTTCTCTCTTAGGTTGCTTTGGTTGCAGTAAATATCATTGGAGACCCTGCAGACTTTGGCGATGAAAGCAATATTGTAAGTTTGGGAAGTTTCATTCCTAAAGAGAGACATTTATTTCTAACAAGGAAGGGTCATTCATTTTTGTCACGAAAGTGTCATCCTATAAATTTTCACAGAAGTGTCTAGTGACCAGCTCGCAGGTGATCTTTCAGCAGCTGTTGTTTTTAACTTTCCTTTACTCGAGAAGTTTAGTTGTCCCTCCAGCAAACGGGATCACCAAAGCCCCTTCATATCATATCATCTGTTTGTTTTATGTTGTTCCTTTTTCCTCTGAGATGCTAAGCAGAACTTCCCCACAGACCTCCAGAGAGAAGCTGATTGATCACTACCTGGGGCACAATGCAGAGGACCCAGCTCTTGAAGGAACTTGCTCTGGGTAAGAGCCCCGCCCGCCCCAGGCTGTAAACTTCTGTGACTTCCTCCCTTGAAGCCAGCTCTAAAGGACCCTGGACTCAGGGGCCCCAAAGCGCAGTCTGGAGCTGAATAAGCCACTGATGGGATTGTTGTAAATACACTGCAGATTAAGGTCACCCTTCTGTTTAGCACATCTTCATTTGGCACCCTTCAGAGAGGACTTCATTTCCTTTGTGGTTCAGTATCACCAAACAAAAGAGCCATCAGCCATCCTTTGATGTTTTAGTGGCACAGGTAAATTCATAGACGGAATAATTGACCAAGATTGTCAGTTACTGAGCTTCACCTTCCCTCTACTCAGCTTCAGTCCTTAAGGGAGTGAGACCTGCCCGTCTCATTAGGTTCTCCTGAGCGCCTCTCCACACTCTGCATGCACACAGTTGTGCAGACTTAGCCATCCCGCTGCCTCTTTAGCAGGTCAGGAGGGCAGAGCTGAGGGTACAGCTTCAGGAGGGCAGAGCTGAGGGTACAGCTCTTTCCTTCCTGTGTCCCAGCACATCTCTGGGACCGAGTCCTCAGCACCCTGCCTAACACCACCCGGCCTAAAGAGAGAGGAATTGAAGATGACACCCAGGACCCCATCTCTGACAGCAGCTCCCCCAGAGTGAAAGGATAAGATGCTAAGAAAAAATAAGGTGCCTAGATGTTAGTAGATGGTATCTGCCTATGACCTTGGTGTGGGTGGTTCCATGCTCAGGTGCACATGGTCAGAGCAGCCGGCTCTTCTTTTTGCACCAAATGTGGGAATGATTCTCTGCCCTGTCGCTCGGAGCCATGGCGATACCAGTCATGCGCCCAGCAGACAATGAACCCAGCCCCTACAGGCCTAGGCCTCCTGGGCCCCGCAGCCCAAGTGAGAGGCGGGCCAGGGGTCGCCTCAGGTGGTGGTGCATGTGTACCTTGGAGTGGAGGCCACGCTTGCAGCTCAGTGTGTAAGAAGGCACATTGCAGAGTGACCCATCCCACCCACACAGGCCACGCCTGGGTTCCCAGTCTGCTGGACGCCTCCCCTTGTCAGGTGGGCACGAGGAGCACCTGGGGGCAGTGGGCCCTGACAGCAGGTACTGTCTCCGCTCCCTTCAGCGTCGCGGTGGCACCACCTGCAGCTCTGCCCTTGTGAACAGAGATGACCAAGCTCACTGATGGCTTAGTATCTCTGATAAAAGCCCTCTGGGGAATGGTGGCTTCTGTTTAAATCAGTTCTTCTTCAAGTTAGCCATGGAGGACATCAGACTGCGGTTTCCTGTCCTGCTTCACCCCCACCCAGGGTTTTCCTGAAGGCGAAGTGAGGTCTTGACAGGTCATGGGCTGCACCTGAGGCTGAGTCCACAGGCACCGCTGGGGCATGGTGGGCGGTGGGCTCTGCTGACGCTGGGTGTTCCAACATCATCTCGTCCTTTGTAGGGTTCTATAGTGGAATGAAGTGTTGGTTTCATCTCTGGAACTTCAGTGCAGAGCAAGTTAGATTTGAGAATATGGTGTGTATTTAGGTAAAAATAGTCACCATGACCTTGGGGACATGGAGACATGCTGCTGGTCAGTCCTCACTGAGGTTAACAGAGGTGCCATGGCCACCATGCCTGCTGCTGTGCCCACCGCTACCTGAGTCAAGGCATGCGGAAGTAGGATGATGTAGGACATGGTCCCCTGTCCTGCTTGAATTTATCATTAATCAACTAAACTTATGACAGATAACATCTTTAATAAGTTTCCCAGTGTACAAGGACCCCCAAGTCAGAGTTAACAGGCAGTGTCTTTCTGCATCTGATGCCGAAGATGGGGAGGTTCTGAACCATGTCCCTAACTCTTCTCTGAGGAGTTAGATCGGTGTCATGGTTCTGGACATCAGGCCCAGGAGCTGCTGTCCTGTCATAGAACTAGGAGGAAGGAATGGAGGTAAGAGTTCATGAGAAACAGGTCATTCAGATCACATTTAGGTGATTTATTCCAGGAAGGATCTTTCTGAACTGCAGAACCGGATGGTGTTGTACAGTTAGACACTGAAGTACAAGCCCAGTGGTAGCATCGTTAATGCTTGTCACTGTTACTGTGGCATGAAATGGAAGCCTGGACTCAGCCTGGGTACCCCTGAATCAGCCTCTGCAGGGCCAGGGCCTAGTCATGGCCGGCTCTGATGTTGGTTTCCCAAGGCTCCAAATGATTCATGAGCTGAGTCTCGTGCACTATCCTGTCCCAGCACCCAGAGCAGAGCTGGGCACAGTCTGCATTTGAGATACCTGTGGAATGAGTGAGTGAATGAATGAATGAGAGTGAATGTGAATGAGTGAATGAAATGAGTGAATATTAATGAGTGCATGAGTGAGAGAGAGAATGGGAAAAGAGTTGAGTAAATGAGTAAGTGAGTGAATGAGACTCAATGAGCGGGTGATGGATGGACAAGTGAGTGAGTGAGTGCATGAGTGAGTGAGTGAGTGCATGAGTGAGTGAGTAAGTGCATGAGTGAATGTGAATGAGTGAGTGAATGAGACAATGAGTTGGTGATAGATGAGAGAGTGAGTGAGTGAATGAGGTTTGTCCTCAGGAAATGCCATAGGGGCGGGGGCTGTCCCATCTTTCGCCCTGAGTGTGGGGGGAGCACCTCCCCCGCAGTATCACGTAGATTAAAACTGGCTCTAAAATACTCTGTTCTTTCCTGTAGGAAGTCTGATTATATCTCTCCACTAGATGACTTAGCCTTTGACATGTACCAGGACCCAGAAGTGGCACAGATCATCCGCCGGTTAGATGAACAGAAGCGCGAGGCCGTGCAGAAGGAGCGCTACGACTATGCCAAGAAGCTGAAACAAGCCATCGCTGACTTGCAGAAGGTACTGCCTCTGGGGAACAGCTCCTCTGTCACCCACGATAGGCTTTGTGTCTGATTACCCTGGCGCCTACCCAGAGAAGGGGCCAGGCCTCAGAAGGCCACGGGGTTAGCGTGGATTCAGGGGTGTAAGCAGATGAGAGAGACCACGAGCACATAGTCCTGCAGAGCCCTCCTCAGGACCACGTGCCATCTGAGGCAGCAGGAAGCTGAGGTGCTTAAACAGCTGTGAGTTTGCAGGTGCCCCGAGCGTTGCAGGCGACCGTGGCCAGTTCCCTCCATTCCCTGTGTCCTTCCCCCGTCTCCCGGACGTGAGGGTGATCACCCACACCATCCTTGAGGCATTAACTTTAAAACGATCTCTGCACTGGGCGCAAGTCTGTGAAACGAGCGCCGATGCTGTGTGCTCCAGGTGGGGGAGCGCCTGGGCAGGTACGAGGTGGAGAAGCGCCGTGCCGTGGAGAAGGAGGACTACGACCTGGCCAAGGAGAAGAAGCAGCAGATGGAGCGCTTCCGCAGCCGCGTGTACGAGCAGCTGCAGCTGCACCAGCTGGTGGGCGCTGAGCTGGTAGGCGGGCCTGCAGCCGGGCCCGGAGTCGGGCTGGGAGGGCTGCTCGGGGTCCACGTGGAGTCAGGGGCTGGGAGAGCTGCTCGGGGTCCACGTGGAGTCAGGGGCTGGGAGGGCTGCTCGGGGTCCACGTGGAGTCAGGGGCTGGGAGGGCTGCTCGGGGTCCATGTGGAGTCGGGCTGGGAGGGCTGCTCGGGGTCCACGTGGAGTCGGGCTGGGAGGGCTGGGAGGGGTCCACATGGAGTCAGGGGCTGGGAGGGCTGCTCGGGGTCCACGTGGAGTCGGGCTGGGAGGGCTGCTCGGGGTCCATGTGGAGTCGGGCTGGGAGGGCTGCTCGGGGTCCACGTGGAGTCGGGCTGGGAGGGCTGGGAGGGGTCCACGTGGAGTCAAGGGCTGGGAGGGCTGCTCGGGGTCCACGTGGAGTCAGGGGCTGGGAGGGCTGCTCGGGGTCCACGGGGTGGGCGTCGGGCTCAGCCTTGACAGGCTCCTGCAGGAGGGCTGCAGCAGTGCACATGGGCAGGTCAGCAGAGAAGCCTCCCCGCAGCTGGCTGTGTCTCCCGGTGGCAGCCCCACCCATGTGGTCCTGGGGAGCACAAGAAGAGGGGCCCCCGACAGCTCGGGCCAGTAGGGGAGGGTCCTGTGTCCAGACCCATGTTCCAGGCCAGGAGACAGGCCCGGCGCCCAGAGGACAGTACAGAGAGTGCAGGCTCTGGCTGTCCCTGCTGGCCCCTGGCCCCACTCCACCCGCCCTGCTCTGTGGTCTCAGACTCATTCCTCAGCCTCCCTTGGCCTCAGTTTCCCCATTGTTTCCACGGCTGTGAGAACAAGGAACCTGAGATGTGGTCATCTGCCCAAAGCACTTTCCACCAGCCCAGCACTTGACCACAGCTGAGTCCACTACATGCGTTAGAGTGACATGAAGTAGCCTGCTCTGCAGACACATAGGGACCGGCACCGGCCATGTGGGTCCAGCCCAGGCACCCCCGCCCACCTGCAGCCTCCGTGCTGCAGCGCCCACTGTGTGGGCAGCCACCCTGTTCTGATGCTGTGTCACTTGAGTGGTCCACATGGTAACTTCAGGCAGTCGGGGGCCATGACGTGGGCCTTGTTAGTGCAGCTTCTACCTTGTGTCTTCCCAAGCCAGTGCTCCCCTGGGGAACAAGGCGGGGTCTGTGAGGCAGGGACCCTGGGAGCTGAATGGCCTATTTTCCCCCAGATGAGAAGGCCTCTCGACCTGCCCCTGCAGCCCCTGGCCTGTCCCAGCAGCCCCCACCACCAGCTACCCATGCACTCCCTGCCACAGCCGGAGGAGAGGGTGACAGAAAACCAGCGTGCGGACCCTTTCCTTCAGGAGAAGCCTTCATCACACCGCCTGGACGTGTCTCCTCAGCATCTCACGGTGGACCGGCCACCTCCTGCTACTGACCCCCCTCCCAAGACCCACGTAGGTAACTCAGGTTCCCGCCATGGGCAGGCATGGAGGCCCTGTGTCCTGTGGGGGCTTTCCTAGGGAACGAGTGTATTGGGGAACAAAAGTGGCGGGGGGGCCCCTTTCCCGCCCTGCATCCAGGAATACCACCAGTGACTCCAGGAATACCACCAGTGACTGAGACTCTGCCTCCTCTGAGCCTCTGCTACTCTCTTTGCAAAGACGTGCTGATGTGTGGGAGAGGGTGTTTCTGGGAATGAGTGAGGTTCCCACCCTGACGGGACCTCAGCAGAGCCTCAGAACAAGTCGTGTATGAGGCCTTCCCTGTTCGAGCTGCCTGTGTGGCACGTGGCAGAAAGCCTGTTTCCAGTGGGTTACTGGCATTTATAACTGGGAGTCCACATGGGTTTCAGGGTTGGTTTGATTCCTATCTTGCGGGTCCATTTTCTTGGTTCCGGATGCCCTCTCAGTGGCCTGGACCTGTCCCGGGGGCCTCAGCTTCCGGTCTGTATATTATGCCATCGGGGAGGTGGGGGAGGGTGGGTGGCACCTGTCCCACTCTGAGCCCGTCCCCAGGCCCCAGGTTTACCTGGTTAGACCAGCCTCATCACCTGCCAACCTCATTGCTCACGTGGGTCACCGAGGACAGGCCCCAGGAGGCCTGCTGAGGGCTGTAGGTTTGCAGGCTCTGGACAAAAGTGACAGAAGGACCCACGGCTTCCGCCACCTGTGTTAGTGCAGGGCTGCTGGACAATGGATGCGTTCAGAGGAGGCTTGATAATTAAAGTAAACTAACAAACTGAGAAAATACCAGAGGTCTTTCCAGAAGAAGAATATAATAACTTTTACTCTAGTGGTCTGCTGGCAGTTGAAATCTCTAGTGGTAAGCAGTAATTGCAGCAGAATCTAGATAGCTTGTTGATTAAGTCTGTAACAAACTTAGAAGGGAATAGAAACTCCTGTCTGATTTTTTTCAGTTACACCCTATTCATAAATTATTCTAACCTGATGAAACTGATACTTCAGCAAAATACCGTCGTTCAGACCGGACACATCCCAAGCAATCAGCCTGTGGGTGTAGATGGGGATCAGCATGCGAGGAGGGACCCCACGCCGGGCCCTGCAGCTGTCCTGTCCTCCCACAGCCCGAGTCCCTGCCCTACGATGAACGGCCTCTCCCCGTGACCCGCAAGCAGCTCGGGGTGGCGGTCTCCGAGGCAGAGAGGAGGGACGCGCTCGGCGACGAGGCTTGCAGAGCGGACACCACAGGCGAGCCAGAGCCCCTGACAGAGAAAGCCTTGCGGGAAGCCAGCTCTGCTGTGGATGTGCTGGGAGAGGCCCTGGTAAGGAAGGAGGCCAACAGTGGGTGGGGCGGGCGGCTACGCAGGGCCCCTGGTCTTCTGCCAGTCCCACCCGTGTCCTCACCGTCCAGTGGGAAAGTCCTAATGATCAGTCATCACGTGGGACAGCACAAGCATCAGCTAGGATTTCAGGTCTCCTGATGGCATCCCTTTGAGCCTGGCCTTTGTTTCTATATATTTTTCTGTTTTAATTATTTGCTCACACACTACACTGTGGAGGATCCTGGCTCCCCAGCCAGGGATTGAACCTGCATCCTCTGCACTGGGAGGTGGACTCTTAACCACTGGACCACCACGAACATCCCAGCCAGGGCCTTTCCTTGTGGTGCTCACAGGCCTGGGGCCCGGCCCCAGCTCCTGCCCAGAACCCTGCTGGCTCCAGGGTCGAGGACAGCAGGGCACAGAAAATACCAGCGCATCATTGGCCTCGAAAAGTTCTCCTGCTGGAGCTTTTAATACTGTCCATGTTTTAATGGACACAGACTTAAAACTTTCCACACTAGGAGCAGTCTTCTCTAAACCCGTGTACCCAGAGGGTGGAGGTCCTGTGTTTAGAAAAGCTGTGTCTTGTTGAAACAGACCAAAGTCGGGGTGCTGGGGTGGGGACAGGACCGACCACCCACCTGAAGGCTGCCCCTGCCCTCCCAGGTGGCCGGAGCCTACTCCAGGACGTGGTCGCACCGGGAGGATGCGCTCCTCACCCTGCATAAGCAGCTGACAGACACACCCCTGGGGACCCCAAAAGAGGACCTGAAGAGCACGCTGAGGGCCGCTGTCTTCCTTGTCAGGAGAGCCATCCGCGACATCGTGACCCCAGTGAGTTCCGCCACCCCGTGGGGACCCCCATGTCTGCCGAGAGCTTCCGGGCCATCCCCTGGAGGTCAGGGTAGCCCGGGAAGCAGCCTGGTCCCCTCACTGTCATCACCAAGCACGAGGTCACTTAGGATGAAGACCTTGGGTAAGAAACCCAGTCGCCGAGGAGCCTAGGCTCTGTTCCCATGGGCTGTGCCCTCTGGCCTTGTGTGCGCAGAGGCCTGGCCACCATCCTGTTCACGCTATGTTCACATGTTTGATATTCCTGACACCTGAGGAGCTTGGAGTTACCGGTGAATTTTCCTAACTCTGAAAGGGCCGTAAGAATGAACATCCCCAGTTACACCATTGTCTGCATTCACACAAGACCTTATGCAGTTCAGTATAAACGTCATACCCTCGGTCTCACAGGGAGGTGTCGGAGACCTCGTAACACACAGAGATGAGCCCGTGCCCTCTGTGTGCAGGGAACTGTGTTCACAGCAGTTGGCAGTTGGCCGTTTTCTGTCCTTCAGACAGTGTGTAGTTTTCAGCATAATGTTCCTGTTGATTACCGAGAGTAAATTTCATATTTCCTTTCAGTGGAATTGAGTTAAGAGTGACTCATCCGTGTTTATCACTTTTTTCTTAGGTCTTTCAGGCATCTTTGAAACTGTTGAAAATGATAATTACACAGTATATTCCTAAACACAAACTGGGCAGGCTTGAGACGGCTCACTGTGTGGAAAGGACGATTCCTGTCTTGCTCACGAGAACTGGAGACTCTTCTGCTCGCCTCCGTGTTATGGCTTCTAATTTCATTCAGGTACAGGTTTCCCCGGGATGTGTGAAGTCGTCAATAATAAACACATAACCGGAGATACTTGACTTTCTTAGTATAATACCTTACAAGGTCCCGTCTGCTCAAGCCAATCATAGGTTATGCCATGTGATTCACCATCATAACTTCCTTCTCCTCTGACCCAGCAAAATGCTGCCTTAAACATGGCTAGAGTATACAGTTTTTCTTTGTTTCTCTTATAACATAGGCTTTTAATTTTTTTAATAAATAAAAATATATGGAGAGCCAGACCAGAATAGAAAAGTGGAGTTAAAAAAAATAATAAACGTGTCACAGTCTTGATGAAGTGTTTTATTTCCACCAGCACACCTCTGGCCTGGGCGCTGGGGGAGCCGAGGTGGACATGAGCCACTGGGAGTCTGGGGCCCACGCTGAGCCAGGCAGCAGAGGACTGTGCTTTGCTCTCTTGTCAGAAATCCCTCTGGGCCAGGGGACCTCAGGTTAAGGTGCAGGCATCTGTGAGCTCCTCCAAATGTGAACCCAGTGCCATGAGCAGGCCGGTTTTCTAGGGAAGGAAGCCAAAGCTTCCATAGTTTCTTCACCAGGAAGAACCACCGATCTTGTTTTATTTAACAAACTAAAACATTCAGGGAAAATGAGTGAGTGGTGTTATTTGGGGGAACTCGTTCAAAGGACGCAGTGAACGTGCCCCTAATCATTTTAAAGCCACGTTCGCCTCTAGGGCAGCAGTGGTGAGCGTCCTCTGCACGCAGGCGTTCCCACCCTGCACCAGCCTCCGACAGCCTACGCCAGGCTGCCATGTGCGTCCCCACGTGCGCGGCATCTGTGTGTCCCAGGAAGGGCAACGTTCCTGCTGCTCTCGGGGACTCCCCTCCCTTCTCCTCCTTCCCATTGGTGTCCAGCCACTCGTGGGCCCAGAGCCAGAGCTAACAGTGCTGCCAGAATGAGAAGGTGTTTGGGTCTGTGGCCACATACCTGCTAAAAACAGACTTCTGTCTGTTACAGCTCATGTTTCGTCAACATTTTATCATTTCTTTAGTCTTCTCCTTTAATATTTTATCATTTTTTCTTTTTCTGCATTTGGCTAGTTAAGTAATGAATATCTTTTTTTTTTTTGGCAGTGTAAGAAACAGCAATTTTGTAAAACAGGTGAAATACAAAGAACATAGCCAGCAGTATTAGTAAAGTCACAAGTAAGACTTAAGAGCTTTTATTAGATGTAGCCCAGTATATCTCAGGTCATCTGACTTAGTCTACTCTGTACGAATCTTTATCTTTCAGGGAAATTATACATTGGCACCACCATCTATAAGGCACACAGCCCAGTTTTCTAGTGTTACTAGACTGATTATCTTTAGTATGATTAAATGTTTTTAACACAGAGGAGACTTTAAACCTAAATTACCATAGCCTGGTGTTATCTATATAAATCTATCTCATAATTGTGAGAGATTTCTTTTTCTTTTGCTAAAACTTTTCCTGTTGCTCTGATTGAGCTTGAGGAATAGAAAAAGGCTCAAATTTATAGCCAGAGTCAGAGTAAGCATTATTAATTGGCCCAGTGAGGGGATCCCATCTGGTAGTATCACAGTGACCTGAATATGACTATATATATATTTTTTAAGTAAATTTCCTCAGGGCCAACCAGTTAGAGTCTTGTAGTAGAGAAATTTACCAAGGTAACCCAGAACTAGATACAGGTAATTGGCCACAAACCCAACAATTGGATTGATTTTTAAAACTAACATAGAATCAGGGCTATGATAGAAAAGCATTTGATTTATATGCAAAGGTCTAAGAAGTCAAGAAAACATTATAAATGATCAAACGAATCAGGTCTAGCATCTTGGACAAGCTGTCTGCCTCTGATGTCGCTGTCTTCTCATCCTGGTGTAGTGTAGTTTCTCCTGTTTGAGCATCATTTTAAGGTGAGATCAGGTCAGCTGTCTTCTCTGTAGACCAATCTACTAGGGGCCTTTGGAAGTGGGAATTAATCTAAGAGTTAATTTCCCTTCAGTTTCATTGTGCGTGAGCTAATTAAGAGTACCTGATACAAAGTCTTTCCATCCAGGTTGGAGACAGTCTCTTAAATTATGTCTTTTTCCAGTCCTGGTTGCAGGTCATGAGGCATCTGATCTTCATCCAAAGATAGATTACTGAGATAAGCTTAACCGCAGGTCTTCTGGAATCTGAGGCTGAGCCGCGTGAGCTTTCTGCTGAGTTTGTTTTTCTCTGTCCCGGTTTCCAGCACGATGGGCCTTCCCCTGCGCTGGGTTTTCTTCGTGTTCCGCTTGTACCTCGGGAGCTTCGCTGGGTTGGGCTCCTGCTGCGCTTGGCCTCTTCCGCATGGAGGTTGTTTCAGCCAGGTTAAATCTGAGTCACGGCACCAGAGATGTCAGGCGAGTGTATGCTCCTCAGTTCTTCGTCTCGTCACAACAAACATTTGGAGTGACGGACGTTAAAGCGATTACCCAAGCCGGTGGGGGGTTCTTCTGTCCTTACTCTTTGTGCCAAAAATCAGGCCGATGAAAACTGTGAGCACAGGTCAGGAATGTAGCAGATTTTCCGGCAGGCTATGAAGGGTATTCCTTGGCATGTTTTTCCCACTAGTTTTTCCTCTTTTCCTTCAGCTCTTTCTCCTGGGACTCGAGCCTGACCAAAACCCAGGATGCCCAGCTCAGGCTCTGAGGTCTTATTGCAAAAATTCAGTGAGAGACAAAACGATAAGTGGGAGGTGCATTTGTTAAGATTCAGAGAGAAGCACAAGCTTCAGGGTGTGGGCCATTGCTGAGGGCCGAATATCTTAATTATAGAAAGACTTGTGTGGAGACAACAGAGTGTGTGGAGGCACTTACCCTCTTTCATCTCAACCCGTCAGGGATCAGTTCATCTGAGTATATGCCTGTTACACGCTTGGCCATAGTTTAAAAATACTGAAATGGAGGTTCTTACAGCAAAACTAATTTCTTTTAGAATTTTAGAAATTAGAAAATCTTTTTCTTGAGGTTGTGAGATCCTGAGAAGAAAACTAAGGTTTTAATCACACTTTCTGTAAAGCTCTAATTCATCTCCAAGTGATCATGGTTCTTATTTCTGATGATTCAGGCTTTTGTTCTTAATTGTTATCATATCTTAAATAGAAATAGGAGCTTACGGACGAATGACTTTGCTGTCGTTTGTCACTGTCATTTTTTATTTCCCATTTTTCCCCTCAGTGTTTACTTTACGGCTGGCAATAAGTTACACCTCGCATTTTATGGTAAAACTTAGCAGATGCTGTTGGTCTCTCTAGGAGATAGCCTTGTTTAAGGAAGTGAAGTCTCTCCAGGTCATCCCATCTTACCTGGTCCAGCCACTGAAAGCCAACTCCTCAACTCACCTGGCCATGAGCCAGATGGCATTGCTGGCACGACTGCTGCGGGACCTGGGCACGGAGGGTGCGGGCTTCACCGTGGACAGTGTGATGCGGGTGAGCACCCTGGGGTGGCCGCCACAGCCAGGCCCGAGCTGGTGGCTGGAGTGCATGGGTGTCTGGGGAGTGCTAGCTGCAAGTCAGTGGGGAGTGGGGTGGGGAGGCATGATTTCAGAATGTCCCTGCTTCCTCTGACACATGTGGGCACTGGAGCCTGCTGCACCTTCTGCTTCGCCTGGTGAACACAGAACAGGAGGGGGACCCCAGATTTAAGAGTGGGCAGGAATGGCGGGGTAACTCAGTGATGGACCCCCCCAGGGCGGGAGGACCTCGTGGGAGGTGACAGATGGGAGGAAGCACAGATGAGTGGGCTGGGTGGGTGGGAGGTCACCATCCCAGGTAGGGGGTGGCGGGTTCCTTGCAGTCAGAACATCTCAAGGTTCTTACAGGGATTGAGGATGACAAGGTCCAGGGTAAAACCTGGCTATGCTGGTGGGGACAGGAAGTAAGGAAGAGAGACCAGTGCCTGAAAGGCCATTATGTGTGGGAACGTTGATGTGTTGTGATAGGTTCGTGTGACCCTAAAGCAGTTAGGATGGATGGATCAGATCCTTCATCTACTTCAAGGTCACACACAGATCCTGAAAAAGGAACATTGAATAAGTAATAAGTGTCAGAATGTTAAGCATAGTGAGCTATTTATGTATGTATGTACTCAGTCATGTCCCACTCTTTGCGACCCTGTGGACTGTAGCCCACCAGGCTCCTCTGTCCATGGGGACTCTCCATGTAAGAATACAGGAGCGAGTTACCATTTTCTCCTCCAAAGGATCTTCCCAACCCAGAGATCAAACCCGCATCTCTTGTGTCTCCTGTGTTGGCAGACAGATTCTTTACTGAGCCACCTGGGAAGCCCATTTATGATATCAAACAAAAGCCTGTGTGTACCACCACACACACACACACACACACACACACACGGCACGTAGGCTGTGCAGCTAATGAGAATGTCTGTGCTTTGCGTGTCCTCCAGCTTCAGGGACTGATGCCTCTGAGGGGGAGGGGGCAGGTGGAAGGGGTAGGGAGCTGGGGAGACTTCCAAGGGGTCTGTGCAGGGGTCCTAGTGTTCTGTTTCTTGGAAAGAGCTGAAACAGACACGCCTTGTAATACTTAGTTTATGGGAGGCTATAACTTTAAAACTGCCATTTATTGTCTGAAGTAGGAGAGAGCAAAACCATAATTGTGTACACAAGTCCCAGTATAAAATAAGCGAGGGAACCCTGCATCTTGGCTGCTGGAATCCTGTGGGCGATGTCTTCTTCGTTTTTCAAGTGTTCTTATTGCCCCTGTGTTTGGGCTTTCTTGGTGGCTCAGATGGCAAAGAATCGTCTGCAGTGTGGGAGACCTGGGTCCGATCCCTGGGTTGGGAAGATCTGGTGGAGAAGGAAATGGCTACTCACACCACTATTCTTGCCTGGAGAATCCCATGCACAGAGGAGCCTAGTGGGCTACAGTCCACAGGGTCACAAAGAGTTGGACATGACTGAGCGACTTAACACTGTTTCTTCTACACCAGAAGAACTAAACGTGGCTGTTTTACAACTGAGCCACACGAGCGCGTCCCGGCCCTCTTCTCAGTTTTCAGTGCAGGCCCTGGAGCACAGGGTGCGAGAGGTGCGTGAGGCGGCCGTAGGGATGATCCTGGACCTGTACGCGCAGCACCGGGACCTAGTCCTAGAGTACCTCCCGCCCGACGACAGCGCCACCCGCAGGAACATCCTCTACAAAACGATCTTTGAGGGGTTTGCCAAAATAGACGGCCGACCCACAGATGCCGAGATGAGGGTGAGCTCACTTTCCCAGAGTTATGATTTGACCCCATGTTTAAGGAGTGATCTGGTGCCAGAGTAAACTGACGCATGTTTCAAGGAGCTGCATGGTCACGGGGGACACTGGTCCTGGTTCCTCCACTGTGTCTGTGAACAGGGGTGATGGTGGCCTCATGTGAGGGCATCCTCAGGTTTATCCATAGTAGACATTTAGCACCACTTGTTCACCAACTAGGCTCAATATAAAGTAAAGCATTTTATATTCAATTTAAAAAAACAGTAAACATTTATTAGATGAACCTGGTGGATCTTTCTCTTAATCCTAGTTATATATTTCGAATGTCTTAGTGAGGATTGTAATGTATGAGAGACATAATATATATGCTATAGCTTATCACTTAGTTTCGAAGGCAACCCTAAAAATCATTTCTAATGGAAAATCTTTCCATACCAGGCACAGAAAAGAGCTGCTGCCGAAGAAGCAGAAAAACGAAAGAAAGAAGAAATCAAAGCTTTGCAAGGGCAGTTGGCAGCCCTAAAAGAGATGCAGGCTGAAGTCCAGGTTGGCAGGAGTCTCTGTCTCTCACCCTTGTGCTCTTGGTCAAAATCCTGTGAGCGGTTATTTCCTTACATAAATGAACAGGGAGCTTGGTCTACTTTTCGTGGGATTCTGTAAACAGACATCTTTATTCTTTGTTGTTTCTTCAACAAAGAAGAAAGGAAATAAAAGGAATCCCCTGCTGAATCATCTGCTTGCTCTTCATTCCTGTTGGGGATGAAACACACTGCTGGCCTGGCTGTGTTTAGAGCAGACAGGACACTTGGGCCTGCAGGAACTTGTTGGGGGGCAGGGGGAGGACAGGTCCCCCACCCACAGGTCCTCGCCTCCTTCAGAGGCTAAGGAGGAAAATAAGCTTGACTCAAAGGTCTGCCTTCTTTGTGCAGGAAACAGAAGGTTTCAGGCAGACACTTTCATCAGGAAGCCCTAGTCCCAGTGCACAGGGGATCAGACAGCATTTGGTCCCGTGGAAGCATGTCCCTTCCGAAGGGCCTGCCTCTGTGATTTACACGCGTGTTGTCATGTGCTCGCTTTGGCAGCACATATACACATGTGTCTTCACTCTGGCTTTCGTGGTTACATCCTTCAGGTGACAGTAAAAGGGCAAGGGCATGGGCACCTAAGCTGGCTACACAGCCAAGGAGTCCCCAGCTGTGTCCACAGCGAGTCTCCTGAGAAGTGCTCTGACCACCGCTTTGTAAAAAAAAAAGAGTAATAAGTGACTAAGAATGGTGAAAAGGAAAGGAAGCATGGCAGAATACGTGTTGAAGTGCCTGTGACAGAGGGTGACAGTGATGCTGGCGCGTCAGAATCCATGAGAAGAACAGGAACACAGCTGCCTGGCCAGAACAGGGAGGAGGCCTGTGCCCACGAGGGACCTTCCTGGACAGTCAGTGGCCCCTGAGGCCTCCTGGAGCAGGCCAGGCTGCTGCTGCTTCTTCCCAGCACGATATTGATACAGATGCCGAAACCGCGCAGAGAGCTAAGTGCTCACACTAGGTCAGGAGCTGGAGGTGGCCGAGCTCCGCCCCTTCCATCTTATAACAGCGCAGGGTCCAGGCACCATGGCCTCTGTCACAGTGCCTGGGGGGGCTTGCTGAGGTCACAGGCTGTGTCCCCGAAGTGTCTGTGGTCACGGCACGAGGGTGCCCATCCCCCACCTCCCCTGGAGCACCCTCACTGGCTCCTCTGTGTGCTTCAGTGTTTGCTGAGCACTTGCAATGCACCCACCCTTCCTGGGCTCCAGAGGTGCCCCAGGACCACACCGCACAGGCCTCTGTCCTTGTCCTGAGATGACTGCTAATGGCGTCTCACAGGAGAATGACAATTTTTTTTTTAGTCTTTATTATTGTAAAATACATATAAAATTTACCATTTTAACCATTTTTAAGGTTATAGTTTTGTGCCTTTAAGCACATTCACCTCATTGTGTAACCACCACCACCACCACCAGCCATCTCCAAAACTTTTGAGAATGGCAGAATATTTTTAAATCACCTGATTGCTCATGAGTTTTAGGGAAAAGATGTAAATTACTAATCAGTTTTCTAATCTGTTCAAAGCATAGATTAAGGTAAAATTTATAACTAAAATTTCACTTTTGGCATAATTTGTTTTCCTGCAAAAGGTACTAACCCATCATTACCTAGAACCCATCTATATAAGTTTACATTCTCTAGATATGTGTATAAATCATGTGAACCCCATTTGCAAGTTCAATATCAATCTATTAAGTCTGTCCCTAGCCCTAAAATAGTATTTTTGTGTGGTTTTTGTGTTCAGAAATGAAGTTTGAAAGAAGTTCCTTACTGTCATGTAAACTGTGATTTTCTACTATCACGATAGACAGTGTCTATACAGTGCACTTAAGGCTGTGGATAGGGGACTGGCTCCTCTCTGTTCTCCTGTGAAACTGCAAGCCCTCGTGAGACACCCTTCCCCTGGGCCAGGGCAGTGAGCAGCCCAGGCTGGCGGGTCTAGCAGCTCAGGTCTAGCAGACTAGCCAGTGCGAGAGGAAAGCCTGGGGCGGGAGGAGCTCCTGGAGGCTGATGCAGAAGCCACCAGGGCTTTTGAGCGGAAGTGAATCCCTTACTAGGGTATGATGGGTCCCTCTGGCCCATGTACTTGAGGTGGTGACAAGGGCAGGCATCCGGGTGTGTGAAAGCAGAGCCTGCAGGCTGGCTGATAGGCTGGGGCCAGGCCACATGGGGAGCGGAAGGAGGCGTGACGGGTCCAGGTTTCCTGACTGCAGGGCTCCACGCCAGAGGCTGCAAGGGCACGGGCATGGGCGTAGCACAGGGCAGGGGGGTGGGAGAAGGAGTTTGGTCTGGTTAAGTCATGTTCACGTGACATCAGAGACCCGAGTACATTCTGAGCAGCAGAGGGGCCGGCTGACAGGACAGACATCCAGGTCATGAGCTCAGAGGTGGGCGTCCAGCCTGGAACTGGACAAGGGCACCTTCAGGATCTGAACAGACAGACCGGGGGTGGAGTGAGTCCCAGAGGAGCGGGGGGCACCCTGGGAGCCCAAGTAAGAAGAGCCTAGAGGAGCGGGGTGGGGAGCCACGTGCTGCCGGGAGCCCATGGAATGTCCCACGGGGGACACCAGTGGTGAGCAGGTGACCCAGAGGAGAGTTATGTGGCCTTGACAAAGACTGGTTTCCATGGAGACAGGGCAGGAGCCCCGAGGGAGGGGCCATGGAGGAGCAGGACGAAGGAGATGGTGTAACGTCAAGTGTGGGTAACACTTTCAGACAAGTGTGTTGTTTGCGGATGGAAATTCTGCCTCAGACCCTGAGGTCACACTTTGAGGATCACACTGAATCCTGGATAGACTCTCATAGGCACTGCAGCCACCTGACCTGAGCCTTCTGTGTTTGTGTTTTAGGAAAAAGAGAGTGAAGCTACGAAGGCCAAGAACCAGGGTACGTAGAATGCACGTCGTGAAAACCCTGCATGGAAACCACCTCTGTGTATTCAGCAAACGTCTTCATCTCAGACGCTGCAGAGCCAAGTGTAAAACATTGCCGGTTACTAACTTGCACTTTTAAACTGAATTTCATATCCAGCTGGTTACTAAAACTGTGAAAGTAGTTTTCTACAAAAAATTACTTAAATCATTTTCTAATTTCTTTAGACACTCAAGAAAGGAAAGCAGCCCCACCAAACGCTCCAGAAATTCCAGATAACCACTATTTAGACAAGTGAGTAGAGCCACCTCTAACCCATTGTGGGGTGGTTAGAGGGACCAACCACATGAAAACACTGTGAGACAGATAATACTCTCTCTGGCTCATTAGGGTCCCGTGAACTGACTGGCTCTTTTCAGTGACTTCAGAAGCTTGGGAAGGGCCCTCCAAAGCAGGCAGCATCAGCTCTGGTCAGGATAAGCTTCTCTCTCTTCCCTGACAGAAGTGAGCAGCCTATTTGTCAAAATGTCTATTACATACTCAAAAAAATTTTTTGATGTTTTATGGAAGTACTATTGATTTACGATATATGAATTTCTGTTGTACAGCACAGTGACTCAGTTATGCGTGTATATACATTCTTTTTCAAATTCTGTTCTATTATGGTTTATCACAGGGTATTGAGTATAGTCAGGTTCAATTTTACAGTAGCAAAATGCTTTCTCCTGTGCAGTGGCCAAGACAAATCTACAAGGAATTTAAGGAAAAGGTCTTGGTCTACTCAGGACTTCCCTGGTGGCGCAGTGGTGAAGAACTTGCCTGCCATGGAGGAGATGCAGGTTCAACCCCAGGGTCAGGAAGATCCCCTGGAATAGGAAATGGCAAGCCACTCCAGTATTCTTGCCTGGAGAATCCCGTGGACAGGAGCCTGGCAGGCTACAGTCCATGGGGTCGCAGAGTCAAACACTACTGAGCGTGCACACACACAGAGTCTACTTTTGTGACTTAAAATATCCTTTCTACTTGATGACATTGACAGAATTCAAAGGGATCCTAAGCTAGTTTATCTCAGACACCCACATGGTGAAGACTTTTTTGACATCTGTAATAGGGAGCCATCCAGCCCTCCCTGAGGACCCTCTGGTGAGGTGTGGCCCTGCCTCCAGGTCCAGCTGCAGCCCATTCGGGACCATAACCGTGACTACTGGCTGCGGTCTGGAGATCACGAAGCTCTTGCGAGCCGGCAGAATGGGGACGGCCAACCTAAACCTGGGCCTCACTTCTGACCATTCTGTCTTGTTTCAGTTTATGTATTTTTTGCGGGGAGAGGAACGAGTCCTTCACCGAAGAAGGCCTGGACCTCCATTACTGGAAGCACTGCCTCATGCTGACAAGATGCGAGCACTGCAGACAGGTCAGGCTCAGGGGCCTTAGTGTTTCAGAGGAAAGCTGTGGGGAAAATCACTGAATGTAAATCACCCTGTTTAGTTGGGATTGATTTTTCTTTTTAAAGTGTAACACACGTATAAGTGTATACAAGCTATAGATATTACAGCTCCTGAATTAGCACACAGTAGACACCTCAGTTGGAGAAGAAAATGGCAACCCACTCCGTATTCTTGCCTGGAGAATCCCAAGGACGGGGGAGCCTGGTGGGCTGCCGTGTCTATGAGGTCACACAGAGTTGGACACGACTGAAGCGACTTAGCAGCAGCAGCAGAAACCTCAGTTTAATCACTACCAGGATACATACCCCACGGACCCCACCCTCCTCTCCTCACTGTCCTCATTCCTGCTTCTTACTTGTTGAGTTTTATGGAAGTGGACTCCTATGCTGGGTTTGGGGTTTGTTTATGGCATTCCACTGTCTGAATGTACAATTTACCTGTCCTTTCTCCTGCGTGTGGTGGGGTTGAGACTGTGAGAAAGAGCGTTGCTGTAGCCACTCTTGTGTACATCTTCTGTGCGTGTGGATGCACCTTTCTGGGTGCACACCTCGTGGGGTTACGGAGTGGGCCCACGTCCAGTGAGCCCTCCTGCAGAGCCATGCCACCCGCCATGTGCCCCGTCTTGCTTTCCTGATGAAACAGGGGGAGCCGCATCCCCTGTTGGCCTGCTGCTCCCCTCTTTGCGAAGCACGTCCGGTGTCGCGCCTGGCTTTTGAATTGGCTGGCTCATCATCACTGATGTGTAGTCATCCCTGACATACTTGAATGTGCGGTGCCCGCTGTGTCCAGCATTTTCATTGATGTGCGATAGCTTTTTGTTTTAATGTTGTCCTCCCTGTTGGTCCCTTTCAGGGATAATGCTTTTCACATCCTGTTCAGGCAGGCTTCCCCCACCCCCGATGTTCATCTCCTGGGATGGAGCCAACCCTGCTCAGACAGAGGAGGAGAAGCAGGAGAGAACCCCTCCCCTGTCTGTCCTCAGGGCTCTCCAGCCTGCAGAGGGGAGCACAGAGGACAGATCCCACTCTGAGAGCTCCTCTCTCCTGGGCAGTATACCAATCTGTGGGGTGAAGCTCTCGGGTGCATAACAGCTGCTCCTGGCAAAGGTGTCCCAGTGGTGTGAGGGACTCTTCCTCTGTTTCCAGCATATTCTTAGAAATGGCTGGGAGCCAGGATGGAACCCCAGGCCTCACATAGAGCCTCTGAGCTCTTCAGGTTCAGGTTAGGGTTAGGGTTGTGGGGTGAACCCTCACATTCCCTCCCCCCCAAGCCATGGCCTCTAGATGCTCCTGGCATCACATGACAAGCACAGGGGCAGCGAGGGGGTCTTCAGCAAAGTATCCTAAATGACCATGGATGTGACAGTCAGGCGTCTACCCCAGGAAGCAGCGCCCGTGCAAATGCTGGGACAGCACCACCCTGCGCTCAGCCCCATGCTATGTCCTCTCTGTCTGCAGGTGGTGGAGATTTCCAGCCTGACGGAGCACCTGCTGACTGAGTGTGACCAGAAGGACAGCTTTGGAAGGTGTTACCGCTGCAGCGAGGCTATTTCAAAGGAGGAGCTGCCCAGACACGTCAAAACCAGAGACTGTAACCGTGAGTGCCTGCGGACCTCAAGACCCCAAACTGTGTCATCCCCTGGGGCCCAGCTGCGGGGCTGGGGGTCAGGTCCCGTGTCTGCCAGTGCTGCTGGTGCCCCAGCCACAACCCGCAGGAGTGACCAGAAATCCTTGTCTCTTTCAAACCATTCAGCTGCCAAGTCAGAGAAGCTGGCAAACCGGTGTCCTCTGTGCCATGAGAACTTCAGCCCCGGAGAAGAGGTGAGGGGTGGCAGGGAGGGGGCTGACGTGGGGCAGGGACTGGTGTGGGGGAGGGGGCTGATGTGGGATTAGGACTGGGGGAGGGGCTGAAGTGGGGATGGCGACCAGGCACCTCGAGGGTCAGTGTCGAGGCTGCTATGGTGCTGGGCCAGCACAGAGACAGGGTGTCAGGAAGAGGTGGTTCTGGAGCTCTGTCTCCAGGTTTCTGTGCCATGCCCCCCAACCCCAGAACATCTGTGAGCTCTCAGGGAGGCGGCTCTGCCCTCCCGGCCGTGGGTCTGGCTGTGTGTGCAAGGTACGTGAAGGCTTAGTTCCTTCCCTTTCCATTGTCAGCTAGTTTTCATAATAACTAGCTGTGTGCCCAGCATCTTCTGGCGGTAGCTTATTTGTTTGTCTGGATCTTAGCATCATTGTGAACCCACAGCTTTAGGCTATGTGGTATGTTCAGCTGTGGGCATCACAGTGCTTAGTGGTGTGTGGATGAGCCAGCCTCTGGCCAGTGGGGCCTCTGCAGCTGGGCGCCTGGCAGTGTGAGTGGGCCCTGGGGACGCAGAACCTCCTGGCTCCGACTGAACCTTCCCTTCCTGGTTCCTTTCACTGGAAGTGATATTCCATGACCCCCTTGGGTGCTCTGTGCTTGTGGACCAGTACCGTTCTGGGCCTCTCTGCAGACAGAGCCAGGAAAACATCGAGATAAATCCATGTAAAGTTCACACTGACGTTGCTGATTAAGAATCTGAGCTGCAGGGGTTGCTTTAACCCCATGGGTCTCAGGACAGAGTCTCCATCCTCCCGAGAATCAGTTCCCAAAGCCCCCAGAGATGCCCATCAGACCATCACACAGTGGGCTCTTCTTGGCCCCAGGGTCCCCGGGCGTTACAGGCAGGGCAATGTTGCTGGCCATCCCAGCTCCTCTCGTCCCTCTCGTCCTCCTGGAGACGGGGGCTCCGGCGTCTGCTTCAGGGCGCTGGGGTCGCTACACTTGCTCTACCGCCAGCTGGTAACAGTTCAGCCTCATTGTCTGTTTATGTTCAGGTCCTGGCAGTTTTCAAAATCAAGTTCTGCGATTATGTAAGGTATTTAGATGGCTCTGAAGTCTGTAAAATGAGGCCAATTCAGAGAAGACCAGGCAGAAGCCGCCGACCTGCCCCTGCTCCCTATTCCTCCTCTTACAGGACAAGGGTTTTTTAATGGCTTATCTTAATTTTTTCCTTAAATGTAGCTCTCAAATGTGTACACTTTTTCTCTGTCCCTGTTCAGTTTTAGAGGTTAGGTGCCTCTGTGCTTAGTTGTCATCACCTTGCACTGTCACTGTCATATGTGACCAGCCCCCTCCTTGTGGAGACCAGCTGACCCCCTGCTCTGAGCAGTGCTGGCATCTGCAGTGGCCTCTGCCCCTCCTGCCCCCGCCCCCACCCCAGCTCCAGCCTGGAGGGGACAGCATCTGCCTCAGGCCACATGGTGCCTCAGACCACGTGGTGAGGCACCAGTAGGCTATGCTCCTTTTCCCTCTGTTTCCTCTATATTTTCTTAACCAGTCTCCACCCACCAAGAAGCTTGAACACCCGTTATTGTCACGGTTTCTGCAGCTCAGAAGTCCAGGCATGGCCTGGCTGGGTCGTCTGCTCAAGGTCTCAAAGCGCTGCACTTCCAGTGTCGGCCAGGCCACTCTGTCATCTGCGGGCCCGACTGGGGGAGGAGACGCTCCCTGGCCTGTTGCAGGCACTGGCAGCACCCTTTTCTTACTGGTTGTAGGACTGAGGTCCCTGCTTCCTTGCTGGCAGGGCCTCCCTTGCCCCCTGCCCCCCTGCATCATCACACACGTGTGACAGCAGCCTCAGCACGTGGTGCTCAGTCAGCTGTGCGGGAGTCGGGAGGCATGTGACGTGTGGGCTGATGTCTCATAAGCTCACACGCCACAGGTGCTCTGGGATCACTGTCCTCAGGGGCTCAAGGCAGGACACACACAAAGCTCAGGAACCCCCTGAGACTGCCATGCGTAGTAACTGCCTCTGGCTTGGTCATCTTGGTGGCCCCTCTGGTGGCCTGGTTGCCACACTGCATGCGTCTCATTTCAGGCGTGGAAGGCCCATCTCATGGGCCCCGCCGGCTGCACCATGAACCTGCGCCGGACGCACGTGCTGCACAAGACGCCCATGCTGCCACCAGGTAAGTGTCCGCGCAGTCTTGGCCCCATCCCTGGGTCCCTGGCAGGCAGGGTCATCATGTTGCAGTACCGGCTCTGGCTGAAGGCCCTCCGTGTGACCCTGCTTCCCCCAGGCTCCATGGTGGTGCTCAGGGAGTTGACAACCCAAACCGCGGTGTTCACAGGCACACTCAAGTCTTGGTGTCCCTCCAGACCACCCACACCAGTGTCCAGAAACAGGAGCTGTAGTAGCAGGCCACAGATGGCTCCACGACCTAATTCCAAATCAGTTTTGGCTACTTTATGTCAAATTTAGAATGCCCTAAAGAAAAGTTAGTATTTTTCATTAGAAGGTTATTCTTGACCTGAGAGAGTATTGGATACCGGACTTTTATTTTGGGGGCACGTGAACAATGAGAACATGAGGAACCATCTCGGTCAGGGTGGGGTGCCAGGCGGGGTGGCTGTATGGCTGATGCGATGCTGTGCCTCCCCCGCCCCCCACTGAGTGAGGACCGCAGACGCAGGGCGAGCTGCCTCAGCCTCTCAGCCAGGAAGCGGCTGGCTCCAGGAAGCTCCACGTGGCTTCTGGTTTTTCATTTGGGAGCCGAGTTTTTGAAGTTGAAAATGAGGTGTATGGCTTGGTTCTTCCTTCCGAACATGCATCAGGCTTCTCTTCTGGCTCTTTTTTCCTCCTCTTCTGCTGTCACACATGCATCCTCGTGGGTGGCCCGGCTGCCTGTGAGCTGGGTGACCACCGTGTGCGGTGCCGACCCCCTGGTAGGTCCCAGGCCCCTCATACTCGGCCCCTCCTCCCAGTGCCCGGTGACACCTGCCACTCACACTGTCACTGGGCTCTGCACCCTGGCTCACATGTGTCCCCCGTGCTGTGTGTCTGCATGTCCACTGCAGGTAAAGGCCCAGCCGCCACCAGGGCAGGGACCTCAGGATCCAAAGTGGGAAGCAAGATCCCCACCCCGAAGGGGGGCCTGAGTAAAAGCTCCAGCAGGACGTACACGAAGCGGTGACCCGATACAGCGCCCACCTCCCCGCCTCCAGAAGGGCCACGCCCCTCCCATGACATGGCCGTGTCTCCTCAGAGCATCCCTGGGCGTGCTGACCCCCGCTCCGCCCCTGCTGCCCCGGGCTCCTGGCTGTGCCTGTCCCAAGTGTGGCCCTGTCTCCCTGCGGCTCCACGGTCGGGTCTCTGCCCTCCCGGCCCAGGATCACAGAGAGAGACGGTTCTGCCGAAAGAGCGGCACTGGGCAGGCTCGTGCAGAGCGACCTCTCCACATTTGCTGGGAGTGATTTCCATTAAGTCCTCGCTCCCTCTAAACCTCTTGCACGTGGGTCTCTCTCAGCGTGGGGGACAAGGTGGGCTGGTGCCTGCCAGTCACCCTGAGCCCCTCCTCCCCGGCTGTGACTCCTCCCCTCAAGGTCGGGGCGCCATCGGCCTGCAGAGCCTGCAAGTCCGCAGCAGCCTCAAGTAAAGTCAAGGTGGAGAAGGAGGGTCGCTGCCCAGCCCCCTCAGTTCTCACCTGCCAGTGCTCTGAGCGCAGCCCACCTGACACCACCACCCCCATGCAGGCCCCCACCCCAAGGGGATCGGAGGGTAATGCTGATGGCTGCACAGCAGGCCCTTCCTCAGGCGGCTTCAGGTTCTTTACATGCATGGACCCCTAGAAATGTATGAGACGTTCCCTGATGCTCCTGCACGCACCTGAGCAGGTGTGCCAGTCAAGGCCCTTCCTCAAGCCCCTGGGGCAGATGGAGCAACCCCCACCCCATGTAACTTTCAGAGAAGCCTCCGAGCCTCTGCCCAGCCCATCACCCTGACCCACTGGGATCTGTGGAAACTGGAACTGTATGTTCTTTTCTCCAACACATTATACCATACTTTAATAAAAGCCAAGTAAAATGATGAAACCAAACAAACCTCTCCTCACCAGCCCCCAACCAACCCAACTCCCTCAGCCTGTGGAAGTGGCTTGCTCTGCTTCAGAGCCAGGTAGCTGTGTGGAAAGCCAGCGTTTGTCCAAAGCGTGCTTGGAAAGGCCATCTTCGTGTCCAGTCCTATGGTCCCCAGGTGCCCAGCCCACTGGAGACCCAAAGAAGGTACCCTGCCCTCCCTGCCCTCCCTGCCCGGCCGTGTGCCCAGGGGTACGCTTTCCTCCTGAGTGTGTGATAGGCAGGCTTCTAGAATGCCCATGAGAAACCTACGGAACTGATGGAATTTGTACTGCACAGTTAATGTAAGAAATTTTAATTCCAAACCATGTAAAATAACAAAATATATAATAAAAAAAAAACAACTAATAGCTATTTGAGCAAGGTACTCCCTGGGTAAGTTAGTGACAGTGAACCTGTACCAGTCAGTCTCTGGTGAACTGATACTGTCTCATGTGGCTGACTGACAAAGAGAATTACCTTCAAAAATATACTCTATTAAAAAATTTAAAACTATGGGGGGAGAAATAACGTAAAACTTTACTAGATAGAGTACGGATGCCAAGGTAATTATAAAATGATTCTTCCTGGTTCAAAAAGGTGTTGCCATGACCTTCTAACCCATTGCTAAAGTACACATAAAACACTCCTTTAAATAGAACAAGAAAAGTTAACCAAGAAATTATCCTTTTCTTGCCAATCAAAACTTGTAAGAAACATACATGTAATGTTTTCTATATATTGTAATGTAAAGATGTTTATAAAAATACTTAATTTTTAGTGATTGACAAAATTAATTGCATTTAAAACAGGTCGATCTTGCTGATTACAGAAGAATCATGTGTTTATGTTCAAATGATTCCTGGCAGTGATCAGTGGCCATTTAAAAGGTTTACAGAGTTATATGCTATTAAGGAACCAAGAATAAAGGATAAAAAAGTAAAAAGGAACTGTAAGCTGTCTTGGCCATTCATAAATATCTAAACTTGGAACAGTAATTAATAACTGAAATTTCATTCATGAATATGTTGTGGCTATTTAACAATATTTATTATTTTCACATTTCAGAGTATTCTATCTAATTTAAAAGAATTATCTATAAATTTGGCATTAGAATACAAATGTAAATACTTTTAATGAAAATTTGCAACTTTTTAATGTTTTGACATAGTTTTCTATTTGTCTTTATTTCGGGTACCAAAATTATAAAACATCTAAGTAATATATTTTTGTTGTTGTTTCAGGGCTTAGGGGTGCATTCACCCTGAGCATGTGAATATAATAAAAAGATTACTAAATGCTCTGTCCCTTTTAAGACTATACTTGAAAAGCTTATAGTTAAGTTTACATCTTCTGTAAGCACGCAGGCATGATGCAGCCCCGAGGTGCCACTGAGTCGCCGAGGTTCACTGGGCAAGGGGCAGGGGGCGCTAAGCTGCCAGGAGGGAGTCTAGTTCCTGAAATGAGTTATTTGTGGGTTTACTGCTGAAGAAGCTAAAAGATTTTAAGCTGCACATAAATTAGAAATAGTGACCAATTTTATCCTACAGGATAAAGAGAACATTTTATAAACACCCCAGTTGTGCTCCCATCAGAGGTTCATACCTCTTAATCTCTTCCTGTATTTTTTTATTCCTTTTGAAAGAGGGGATTTTTACCAGCCAGCAAGGCTATTTTGCTTTTCAAGTAAGTAAAACAGTATTTTCTCTGCTGTAGACTGGTTTTAAGCTGTTACTAGTTTTGACTTTATGACTGTTTCCATTTTGAAGTTAGTTTTTTCCATATATATATATGTATGTATGTATACACACACACACACACATATAAGGCTAGAAGCCTTCCACATGTGGCTCAGCAGGTAACGAATCCGCCTGCAATGCAGGAGACTTGGGTTAAATTCCTGGGTCAAGAATATCCCCTGGAGGAGGGCATGGCAACCCACTCCAGTATTCTTGCCTGGAGAATCCCCATGGACAGAGGAACCTGGCGGGCTACACTCCATAGGGTAACAAAGAGTTGGACACGGGTGCACATATACATAAACTTGAAATTTAGGGGCATTACACTTTAAACAGCAAAAATCGGTTCTTACCTGCGTAGGCAGTGTGTGTGAGCTAGCCTGTGCACAGGAGGGAGGGGGAGCTGGTGTGAACTCTGGGAGAGTGGTCCCACCTGCTCTCAGGTGTTCATCTGTGCCATTTCTCATCTGTTCTTAAAAACCAGATCAGCACTAAAAACAAGAGCCTGCAGAGCAACGTGTGCCCTGAGTCTTGGGAGCCCTGGGGCCTGCACCCATCCTTCCCCCATTGCTGCCACCACCGGGGGCAGGGAAGCCCTGGGTGGGGGTTGCGGCTCCTGGGTCTGGGGTCAGGGCTTAAGGCAGTGACCTCCTGAGCTGCTGCGTTGGGAGCAATTCTGTGCAGGTCCTGTGCCCCCGCGTGGGTGTTCTGGAACCCTCTGAGGGCCTGCAGGGCAGCTGTTCTCACCTCCACTGTAGGCAGGGAGACCGGCTCAGTGCCCAAACCCTCACCCAGACGTCAACGCTATGCCCTGCACTCTGTGCACCCTGGAACAGGGGTGCAGGCACCGGTTACAGGTAGTGGATTCCAGATTTGCTTGTCTCTGCCTCCGTCCCCGCCTGGAATGGAGCTGAGAGGAAGGTGCTAACAAGGCCCCCACCTACCCCCATGCACACCTACCCCATCTACACAGCAGATCCACCTAGGCAGCCTCCACTCCTTCAGCTCAGGTGGGGAAGGTGCTGAGCCCATGGCGGGGATGGGGGAGACTGAAGGCGTGGGGCCATCCACCTGCCCAAATGGCCTTGAAATTGCTCCAGGCTTCCTTCTGGCCCAAGGCACCTGGGGATGCCTCCCAGTGGGGCAGGAGCAAGCCTCCCCACCACCCAGCTTTAGGATGAAGGACACCACAGCCTCTACCCCACCCCCACCCAAGTCTGAGCACTCAAGTGCAGGGGCAGTGTGCAGGCCCCTCCCCATCAAGAGGTATCCCACAGGGCAAGTGGTGAGCGGAGTCAGATTCTGAAAGGGGTGGTCTTGTGAGCAGGCAGCCTGGGTCTGGCTCATCCCCATGGCCCCCTTTGACGACCCTTATCCTTAAGGTTGAGGGCTCCCCAGGAGTGGCCCACGGCCACCTCTGCACCAGTCATCTGGCCATGCCTTCACTATTAGTGCCTCCTGGTGTCCGGGGACCAGTCCTGGAAACGGAGGGGAGCAGCATCCCGTCTGACGCTGTGGGGTGACCGCTGGCACCACTGCGAGGGTTCTGGATCAAGATCTTCCTTCCCCCGGGAGTAAGGAGACAATGCTTGGGAGTGCTGTTCACCAAATTCGGGGATCCTAAGGCTGGGCCAGAGGCAGGAGGGCAAGTGAGGCTGGCACCCAGGGCCTCCAGCCCCCAGCCTCAACCAGGGCAGGGACATGGGCGGGAACCAGGGTATGGACAGTGATAGAACCAGGACTCAGGTAGGGAAGGGGATGGAGAGGGGTCTAGATGGACTGACTGCCCCCACAGGCCAACCCAGCAGTTGGGCCAGGCTGGGGAAGGAGCAGCCATAGCGCTGGGGTCTGCTCGCACCATCCCCAGGATCCACCTCGGCTGTCTTCATGGACTCACCACAAAGGCATGGATCCCTTCATGATGGAATCCTGAGTCTGACACGTTTAAGCTGCACACATGGAACCGGCCTTCCGTGATCTGTCACTCATGCCGCCATGTGCAGCTCAGCACATGTTCTCCACATGGCCATCTGCTTTCAGTCTCACAAGGGACCCTTCTCCCTCCTGGTGATGGTGGTTGGTGGTGTCCAGTGTGAGCTCCCATACAACTGTTACTACCCGCATTGCCTATCAAGATGGCATATGTTAGCACAAGCTGTCGCACAGCCGCCCAGAAACCTACTCCAGGAAACTAAGCAGGCAAGAGGACATGCAGGCCCCAGGAACTGAAAGCCACTGATACTAAGTATGTATGTACAGTCTTCCAAGAAATCACTGAGGAGACTGAAAGCTCTTCTGGGTGTGACTGCAGCAGCATGCGGAGGGAAGTACAAGGGTGCATGAGATCTTAGGGGCCTACCCTCACCTCTCCTGACCTTGGGACAGTCACTGCCTGTCCTTCACAGATGGAACTGGTCACAATAGTGACCAAGACAAAAACGTGTCTTTCCTGTGTGGGGTCACAGGGTGACAAGGGTGAAATCAGCGCAGCACAAAGGCTCTACTAGAAATAAACATGGTATATTCACAAGATTTCCCAGGTGGCACCATGGTAAAGAACGTGCCTGCCAGTGAAGGAGATGCCAATCCCTGTGTCCTGAAGATCCCCTGGAGGAGGAAATGACAACCCACTCCAGTATTCTAGCCTGGAAAATCCCCATGGACAGAGGAGGCTGGCGGGCTACAGTCTGTGGGGTTCAGAGTCAGATACGACTGAGCACACACACACTCATTCAAACATACTGAAACATGAGACAGCAGACAATGCACAAGTGTTACCCACACACAGATGACTCCCGCAGACCTAGGCCTGGCCCTGCACCATATACAGGAAGCGCAAAAAAAGCAGCAAAACTTCAGTGTCAGGGTACAAGGGGGTTTTGTAAGGACTGGTGATCACTGTTTTCTTGAGCTTCATGATGGCTTCACGGATGTGTTCAGTCTGGACTAAATCCACTTACACTGTGTGCACACTTCTCTGGAAGTCCATCACCCTTCAATACAATGTTCAGAAATTTCAAAACAAAATGAAACTGGCAATTCTGCTGGGGTGAGGGGTTAACAAAAACAGGAGCAGAGAATAGTGCAGTCGACCTCAGCACTATTCCTCTCACCCCCTCCTCCAAACACTTCCCGCCGGTGGGTCCTAACACAGGGAAACTGTCTGCTCCCAAGCAGCCTCACAAACTTGCCTGCCCAACAGAAATGCCTGTGGAGCGTGTAAATCCCCACACCCGAGCTGCAGCCCAGACTGCTAGGCCAGCATCTCCAGACAAGAGGCTGGGGCATCATTCATTTTTAATTTCCTGGTGACTCCAATACACAAACCACTAACCTATAAAGAAAAAAAGTGCACAAGATGCTTGTTAAAAACAGCAAAGAAGACTTATTTGACGATTGCGACAAGGCAAAGTCATTTCAACTCTGATTACAGGACGGCTGGGGCTTTATAGGGCTTCCCAGGTAAAGAACCCACCTGCCAATGCAGGAGAAGTTGGAGACGCGGGTTCCATCCTTGGGTCGCGAAGATCCCGTGGAGGAGAAAATGGCAACCCACTCCAGTATTCTAGCCTGGAAAATCCCCATGGACAGAGGAGGCTGGCGGGCTACAGTCCATGGGGTTGCAGAGTCAGACACGACTGAGTAGGCACGCACGGAGGTGATTATGGCCACAGGGCAGGGAAAGGGAGCCAACAGATGGGAAACAACAGAGATGAACTTGGAAGAGTTTGAAGGGTGGCGGACTATGCCACCCGGAAACGTGTACCTCGGTACGTTGGCTATTCTGAGCTGTGTGCCCCTGAAAATCAGTCGATGCAGGGAGAGCCTTGTCTGAACTCCCCTTCTTGCCTAAACACAGCCTCCCAAAGGAACTCAGTCGTCCGAGACGCCCGTGGGACTAGGAAGGACAACATAGCCAGTGTTACACGGTCCTCCCGCCCGTCTGTCATTCTAAGGTCCGTTCATCTCCCCTAAAAGCCACTCATCTCCTCCCCCTTCGCCCTGTAGAAGGCCTTTAGCACGACGTCCCCGGGCACCTCCTGCGGGCCGTGAGGCCGACGCGTCCGCAGATTCGCTCTCCGATCTTTCTTAGGGACTCGATCGTCCCCGCTGCTTCCCGACAGCCTCGCGGGTGGGAGGGCTCGACCGGCGGCTCGACGATCCAAAGTCCCACGCCCACAGCGAGAACCCGGTCCAAGGCGCTGAAGGTATCAACTCCCCCACCCTACCCGGCTCCTTTAAGACGCTCGCTGTGGCGCTCTAGCGCCCGCGCCGCTCTCGATGGCGCCTTCCGGCTCAGACCAGAAGTTACGCCGCGTGCCCCGGAAGTGCCCCTGCAGGGGCTGCGGGTGCGGCGGCGCGATGGCGGCGGCGGCTGCGGTGTCGGAGGCCTGGCCCGAGCTGGACCTGGCGGAGCGGGAGCGGCGGCGGGAGCTGCTGCTGACCGGGCCCGGACTGGAGGAGCGGGTGCGCGCGGCGGGCGGGCGGCTGCCGCCGCGGCTCTTCACCCTACCGCTGCTGCATTACCTGGAGGTGAGCGGCTGTGGGAGCCTGCGCGAGCCGGGCCCAGGCCTGGCTCAAGGCCTCCCGCAGCTGCACAGCCTCGTGCTGCGTCGCAACGCGCTGGGGCCCGGCCTGAGTCCCGAGCTCGGTCCGCTGCCCGCGCTGCGTGTGCTCGACCTATCGGGCAACGCGCTGGAGGCGCTGCCGCCGGGCCAGGGCCTAGGCCCCGCCGAGCCGCCGGGCCTCCCGCAGCTGCAGAGCCTCAACCTTAGCGGCAACCGGCTGCGCGAGCTGCCGGCCGACCTGGCGCGCTGCGCGCCGCGGCTGCAGACCCTCAACCTCACCGGCAACCGCCTGGACGCCTTCCCCGCCGCGCTTTTCCTCCCCGGCGCGCTGCCGTTGCTCAGCGAACTGGCGGCGGCCGACAACTGCCTCCGGGAGCTCAGCCCTGACATCGCCCACCTGGCGTCGCTCAAGGTCAGCGGGGCGGGCGGGCGAGCGGGGCGGGCCCTCTGGTAGCCGCGGTGGGCGATCTTCTCCGGGTGCTGAGCCGTTCCTCCTCGGCAGGAAATGGCCACCGCAGCATCGGCACCGCTGGGAAGCCGGTTCACCCCCAGGTCCCTTCCGACTCCCCTGACCTCCATCCTCTGGTGGTCTCGCGGCTCGCATCACATTCTGCTCACAACTGGACTTTAACACTTAACACAAGTGATTGTGTTTCTTGATTGCCAACTAGGTGGGCTTCCCGCTCAGGTCGGAGACAGATCAGCAGCAAGGACTCATTGCTAAAAGTTTTTCTTTCCAAATATTTGCTAAAGGACCGTGAGCTTTGTGCGCGGGGCCTCCCAAACAGGGCAGGAAGCTGTGAAGTGACTGCAATTTGCTTAAGGCCCCTAGTGTGATCTCACAGGATAGTTCACTTGACCCCAGCAGCGACTTTTCAGGGCAGGGGTGGTTATTCCCATCTTACAGGATGCGGGAAGGATTGCCCAGAGTACACAGCGAATAGCTTGCAGTATTCTCTATACTGTTCTGTCTAGGGACTGCTTGCTTGTTTTATTTATTCGGGGACCCCAGGTCAAACAATGCTGGGCTCATAACAAAGGCCTAGTAAATCTATTGAGGAAGAGACGGAAGGGCAGAGGTTGCTGGCACCACGGCCTAAGTCCAGTCTAGAGGCTCTTGTCCTTAAAGAGGCAGGCCTCTGTTTCTTTCACTTGTTTTCCATCCCTTTTGTGTAGACTTTTTTTAAACAATCAAATGTGTATGCAGTTTAGCAACTGACCTTTTTGCAGTGGGAATTGCTCTTGAGATGTTGCCAACTCATTTTACAAATGTCTATGTGTCAGGATTAAAAAGCAGAGACATCGCTTGCCAACAAAGGTCGGTACAGACAAATCTGTGGTTTTCCCGGTAGTCATGTAGGGATGTGAGAGTTGGATCATAAAGAAGGCCAAAGAATTGATGCTTTCAAATTGTGGTGCTGGAAATGACTCTTGAGAGTCCCTTGGACTGCAAAGAGATCAAACCAGTTAATCCTAAAGGAAATCAACCCTGAATATTCATTGGAAAGACTGATGCTGAAGCTGAAGCTCCAATACTTTGGCCACCTGATGTGAAGAGTCAACTCATTGGAAAAGATTCTGAGGCTGGGCAGAATTAAGGGCAGGAGAAGGGGGTGACAGAGGATGAGATGGTTGGATGGCATCACCGACTCGATAGACATGAGATAGTGGAGGACAGAGGAGCCTGACGTGCTTCAATCCATGGCATTGCAAAGAGTTGGACATGACTTAGTTTCTAAACAACAACAACAACAACATTGTGTCAGGATAGAAGTGTGTGTGTGTATGTGTGGTCACAAGAACAGAGTGACACGCCACGACTTAGTGACTAAACAACAACATTGTGTCAGGGTAGAAGTGTGTGTGTGTGGTCATGAGAACAGAGTGACGCTCACTTGCTGATGTTGCCAGGAAGGCGCCCAGGAAGCTCCTGAAACAACTGACTCCCAGGCACTGGTCCCCAGGGCTGTAGCTTCATAGCTTCCCTAAGAGGCTGGTGTGACACATGGCATAAGCCGTTTCTGTTCCATCACCCTTCTACTCTCTTGATTTTACAGAAGGTGAAAGTTTGGGTTTGTTTCTTTAATGTTCTGTGTACCTCTGCATACCTGCTCAGTAAAGTCGTCTTTCTTGTGCCCAGAATGCCCTCACTCAGGTCAGATAGAATGTCTCACTGCTCAGCTCCCAGTTTCCTGGCCCACCTTGTTCCTATTTCTAGACTCCCATCCATCTCTGTTAGATGAAGAGGCCATTCCTTGGAGAGCGTCACTTCAGAGCTGCTGGGAATCTGCTTGGACTTGGATGTCCTTTGGGGGCCTTTTCTAAAGTGATACCTCCCTGGGGAACGGCTGCTCGAACTGGGTGAAGCGGAGTCCCTCCACCTGCTGGAGCTGCAAGGACACCAGTGTTCTCTGTTCTTTCTACACTGTGGGGGGACAGCTGAGCTCAGAACGGGAAAGTGTGAGTTCAGTTCAGCGTCTTGTAGCAGCGCCCTGGGCTCCTGCCCGTCCCCTCCCCCGTGAGAACTGTGAGGGTGACCATGGTGTCATGAAGAAAGTGCGGTGACAGCGATGGTGTGTGTCCTCTGGGGCTATATAGCCATGCCAAGGTTGTGACTTAACACAACAGCGGTTTTCTTTGCTCCAGGTCATCCACTCTGGGCCCGCCCAGCTGGACCAACGCCGCCGCCTGGCTGTTGATGGCTCGGGTGGCCCCAGTCAGCTGCTGTGGGCTCGGGCTGGGCTCAGCTGACACGGCTGACTCCTCTGTGTCATCTCGGGACGTCTCCCGCCTCAGCCAGATGGTCTGCCCTCACGTGGTGGCTCAGGGCTCCAGAGCCAGGCCCACTCAGGAAGCAGACCTAGACCCCGCAGCCCACTGGGTCTACTGCATCCTGCTGATTCTGTAAGCAGAGCTCAGTTGAGAGTCGTGGGAGACGCAGCACATGGATGTGGACACCGGGAGGGGCCGCCAGAGTGACAGCACAGAGCCTCTGCTTGTCACGCTCACCCCCCCAGTCCACAGAGGGCCCATGTGAGTGCCTTGGTGTCCACTCACCTGGGAGTCGTGAAGGCCGGACCCTCATCTCCACTGCAGCCCGGGGGCAAGAAGGCTACACAGAGAGCTGTCCTCCCCTTCCCGGCCACGCTGCCTGGAAAGCCCAGCTTCCTCATCGGCCCAGCCTCAGGGCCCCCAGCCAGGCTTCTCCCCACCGTGTTCCATTAACCATGGACTCAGCCTCTGGACTGTAATGAGCCAGAGATGGGCCCCCACACAGCACTCTGCCCTCACTGTCAGTGACCACTCCCCGGACCCGTGGCGCTCCTGTTGGGGACTGCTGAATGATAGGCAGGATAGACGTGCCCCCAGCTGTCCTGGGACAGCACATTGTCTGCTGAAGGAGGATTGTCCCAGTCCTGCCAGTGCCAGGCTCAGTGTCACTCACATAACAGGACTTCTCTCAGAATCAGCGTCCACAAAGAAGTATTGGCTTTTTATTTTCTCAGTTGCTGCCGGAGATGGTGGGTCCTGGAGTGAAGGGGTTCTTCCACACCCCCAGAGATAGTGTATGTCTGTGGTCTCAGCCAGGAAGTTAGGGTCCTTCCCCTGCAGCGTGGCCCGGCAGTGGTCAAGTTGTCGTCTAGGGCAGAGACTGGCCGTGCCCAGCCAGTGTCACCTACAGGAGGGAGGGAATAGGTGGGTGTCCTGGGAAGGTGCCTTGAAGGAGGTGCCTCCAAGTGCACTTAATTCTCCCCTTGGTGATTATGCATTTCCTCTCTCCTGTCCTCCTGTGCAGTTGAACTCCCTGTGTGGATGTTATGTCCGGGTTTCTCCCATCTCCTGCAGCCCCAACACCGCCCCCCATCCCCCCCCAGCCCACCTCCCCAGCGCTCCTGGTCCACTTGGGAAACCTGTGGACTCCACTCCACATCAAATCTGCAGTTTAGGTGGGGCTGGTTGTGGCACATGGTGCTGCTGGGGGCAGTTTTTGCTTGTTAGTGGACTCCTGTTTCTGCTGGGCATGGCCCACAGAGACCCGGCAGCTGCCCAGCCCCCTCCTCTGCCTTGTGGAGACCTCTTCACCAGGCTGCTGGCCTGGCACGGCTCTGTTAGGACTGGGGATCCCTCCTGCCCCCATTCCTTGCTGGCGCCTCCCCTGCTGCTGTCTCAGGGTCTTCTCACCGGAGGCAGACGCACTCCACTGTTGGCGGCTGTTCTTTCACGCCACAGAGGTGCCAGTGGAGTCCAAGCTGTTTGGCCAAAGAGCCTCTGGATGGCGCAGGAGACCCCAAGGCTGGGTGTGCAGATCAGACCTGACGATGACACAGCAGCCCTTTGTCCCTGCTCACAGCCTCCCTGCGGGCGCGGGACCCAACTCATCTGGTCCCAGCCTGGCCGAGTGTGCTCACACAGACATCAGTCTAGGTGGCCCTGGCCAGTCCTCCAGAGCAAGCGTCTTCTGATGCAGGGCAACGAGGGCTCAGCACGGCCCATCTGCGGGACGGGTGCGCCGCCATGTCCTATTGGGGGGGGGGGGGTGTCACAGGGTGGCCTGGAAGGGCCAGTTTCAGCCCATCTGCCCACCTGCCCGGTCTCACCCGCATGGAGGGGCAGGCCAAGAGAGGCGACACTGTGACTGCTGAGTTAACCTGCAGCCCGGTGACACTTGGAGACTGCATCGGGCTCACCTTGTCTCTCTGTTTCCAGGTTGAGTGCAGGATCAGAGCCTGCTTGGCAGTTGCTCCTTTCTCCCCAGGCCTCTGGTCCTGCCAGGCGGAGGCTCTTCTGTCGCACACCCATCTGCCATGCCCCTCCACACTGCTGTCCCAGCCTCGCTGCAGTCTGACTGCCGAGCCAGAGGGCCCCAGCCAGGAGTGATAAAGAAGGGTCCCTTTGTAACTTGGGGGTGCCCTCTGTGTAACCACAGTAGACGGCATCATCAGAGCCCCTGCCCACCGTGCCAGCTGGTGACAACCCTGCCCCCGGCTGTGGGTCTTTTGGGACCATTGTGTCCCAGTCAGGACTGCACTCCTCGCAGGCCACGCTGGTGTGAGTGCTGCTCCAGGAGTGTCCAGAGGAGCCTGCCCACTTGGGTGTCACTGGGGCTCCACAGTGGTCTCACCCAAGCACTCCCTGATCCTCAGTCCTCAGGAGGCCCCTGCCACCTGTCACTGCCCCACTTTTCAAAGGCCAGGCCCCTGTGCTTGCTCCAGCTAAACCAGGCCAGCAGGCTTCTCCCCAGGCCACCCTGTCAAGTCCCTAAGCCCAGGTCAGGTGTAAGCAAAGCTGTGCAAGGTCTTGCCAGAGTTCCCCACAAGAAGCCATTTACTTGCAGGGCTGGATAGCCCCTGGGACAGTGGTGTGGCCAGTCTCCTGCGAGGGGCTGTCCTCTTTACCACCAACTGAGTTGTTCCCCACTTCCCCCCACCCCCACTCCCCCGCCCCAGGGCACAGGACCCTGCTCTCCACCCACCACCTCTTACCCCAGGTCAGCGATACTCATGACTGCTTCATCTTCCTGTCCCTTCTCACGGGCCTCCTGATGCACAGATAGCAGTGGCCCCCACTCCCTCCTCCCACATCACAGCAAAGGGCCCAGAGCCCTCCCAGCATTGACGCAAACTCACCATCCATCATGCATGCAGGATACAGGAGAATCCCCTGTGTGCTGGAAACGTCACATCACAGCATGGAGTGTGACACTGTTACTCATGCTGTTCTTTCTCTTCTGTTCATTTACTTAAAAATTTAAAAACATCTTGGGATGTCCCTGGCGGTCCATTGGTTAAGAATCTGCCTTGCAATGCAGGGGATATGGGTTTGATCCTTGGTCTGGAAATTAAGATCACACATGCCATAGGGCAACTAAGGCCACCAAATAAATATTGAAAACGGTGAAAACTCTTTATCACTATTTTGTGGGAAATTTGTTTCTCGTGTGAAGTTCCTGCTTGTTCTTAACCAAACATTCCCCTCCTTCCTTGCTGTCTTTTTTTCCTCAACCTAACCTGAAATTGTGCTGTAGTTGTTACCAGGAGGACACTGGTCAAGCAGCACTTTAGAGAGGTGACTGGCAGGCCATCCACACCTCCCCTCGGTGGGCAGTCCATGTGTCCATACTGGGCACCGGGGCAGGAGTGAGCGTGGCATGTGTTGTGTTGCTGATACAGGGCAGACGGTCAAGGAGGGTGGGCCTTGGGGGCCTCTCATGGCCCAGCAACAGACCAGAGCTGGGGGTCTGATGTGTCCTGGTCTCCCTCACAGACGCTGGACCTGTCCAACAACCAGCTGAGCGAGATCCCAGCAGAGCTGGCTGACTGCCCAAAGCTCAAGGACATCAACTTCCGGGGGAACAGGCTGCGAGACAAGCGCCTGGAGAAGATGGTCAGTGGCTGCCAGACCAGGTCCATCCTGGAGTACCTGCGTGCTGGGGGCCGTGGCAGGTGTCGGGGCAAGGCCGAGGGCCCCGACAAGGAGGAGGGCCGGCGGAAGAGGCGGGAGCGGAAAAAGAGGGAGAGCGGCGAGGGTGCGGACGCAGTAGTGGACGAGGCCAGCCGGCTGCTGCTCCGTGTCCTGCACGTGTCAGAGAACCCCACCCTGCTGACCATCCAGGCAAGCCCCGAGGTCAGGGATGTACGGCCGTTCTTCGTGGGCGCTGTCGTGCGGGGCATGGATCTGCGGCCTGGGAACGCGCTTAAGCGGTTCCTGTCCTGCCAGGTGGGTGCCCACAGCTGTGCGCGTGGAGCGGGGAGGATGGGCCGTGGGCCGGGAGACCTCAGGCGTCACTCCTGCAAAGCGCCTGGGCCTGGTAGGTCGGGAGGGGCCTCCATCCCAAGTCCTGAAATGTCACTGCTACACTTGTGTAGTAGTGACACACTTGGTCTCACATGAGCTGGCATTAGGACTGTCAGCTCTCGCCAGCACGTTCTTAGGTGAGTTGTCGAGTTCCTGTGAAACTTTAGCTAGACAAGAGGAACTTGTTGTCTTTATGTGACAGCTGCCCAGGTTTTAAAATAAACAGCACATCTTTGCCCCTGGGAAACCCCAAGCATGGTTGCGTGGCTGAGGCCACCTGTGGAAGGCCATGCGTTCAGGGAGGGAGCCAAGCCAGGACCTGAGATCTGGGCTGGTTTTTCTTGTGAAGTCACCCTTGTGCTCATTCACTCAGAAACTTAGCTCGGGATGGGTCCTTGGAAGTGTTGAGCATCGTGTAGTAAGAGTTGGGGAAAGAGGAAATCCTGCTAATAAGCAGATAACAGTTCTCTGAGGAAGGCTCCACAAGAGAAACAGGTGGCTGGGGAGGCAGAGAAAGGTGGCAGCGGGCAGGGCCGCTCTGGAGGCCAGGGTGATGGCGGGGCCTCACGCTGAGCTCCCGCCCTGGATTCCCTGCTGCAGACAAAGCTGCACGAGGACCTCTGTGAGAAGAGGACAGTGGCCACCATCGCAACCCACGACCTCGGAGCTGTCCGGGGGCCCCTGCTCTATACCGCCCGCCCGCCACAGGACTTCAAGGTGAGGCTCACAGCCGTGTCTGCAGCCTCAGTGTTTGGTCTGTGCTTTTAGAGAAGTATACATGTGGGCGATTGTCAGAACACCCTGGTTAGAATGTGACCCTACTCTGCTGCAAGAGGATAAGGCAGGCTGTGTCCACAGTTACTTTCAAAAGCAAATTCATCAAAGGAGGTGTGATTTGAAAGTGACTCCTTCACCTGCCCATTAACTTAACCGAAAACTGCCATTTACATCCCAGTTGCAAACCCCCTGATCTGGGGCTGGCTGCAGTGTGCGTTGTCCTTCAAGGTCCTGCTCCTAGTATCAGTTCCTACACGAGGCACTGCCGGCCCTGGCAGAGGAGGGATGGGTACTGGCCCTGTCTCCTCCCATGGCTGCCTCAGAGCCACAAGCATGGGGACGCAGCTGTGCTTTAAGGGGTTTCAGGTTCAGCCCCTGGGTCACCTCAGAAGGCACATGTCTGCACGTGACGTGGGGGGTGGACTCTCCTCAGCCAGCTGGCCCTCTCGCTAGGACCCACAGCACCAGGCCAATGTGAAGTTCTCCCCCGTGTAGATCATCCCCCTGGGGCGCCGGGAGGTCAAGGCCAAGGACCTGGTGCGACAGCTGCAGCTGGAGGCCGAGGAGCACAGAAAGCAGAAAAAGCGGCAGAACGTGTCGGGCCTGCACAGGTCGGTGGGGGACTCACTCCTCTGGGGATTCACTCTGCTTGGGGCGCTCACACTGTCAGCACTGCACCTCCTGGCTTCAGAGAGTCAGTGCCTGGCAGGCGCGTCTGGGGAAGGGTGGCCACTGGCACATCCACTCAGTGCCTGGGGACAGAGGCCAAGGCAGAGGCAGCCAGGCCCACGGCTGGGATCGGGCCCCTGGAGGCCCAGGGAACCTGTCCTTGCCCTGACAGAGAGGCACCCCAGCCTGTGTTTACTGCCGAGCCTGAGACTGTGTGCTTCCACCAGGTACCTGCACTTGCTGGACGGGAAGGAGCACTACCCCTGCCTCGTGGATGCAGATGGCGACGTGATCTCCTTTCCCCCGGTCACGAACAGCGAGAAGACCAAGGTGGGGCTGCTGCCAGCGTTGGAGTGTGTGTGAGGCTGTGTCATGGGTCTTGTTCACCTACGTTGCTGCTGGCGTTCGTGGCCACCCACAAACCACCGTGTGCGCTGCACCCCTCGGGGAGGCCACGTCTGGGTCCATGTGCCACCATGGGGTTTTCTGCAGAAGGAACATCAGTGTTGATGGTGTCTGCTTGTGATAACTTGGTTCTTTCCTGAAATCTTCCCAATTTCTTTTTAAGATTAAGAAAACCACAAGTGATCTGTTCCTGGAAGTGACGAGCGCCTCCAGCCTGCAGATTTGCAAGGATATCATGGACGCACTCATCCTGGTGAGCCAGCCCCGCCCCACCCTGCACACGCCGCCCACCAGGGTGCTGGCCCCGCAGGACTGATGGCCCATCCATGGCCCTTTACCATGACTTCCCTGGGTTGGCTCTTGTCTTGATTAAGATCTTTTTCATTTGCAGAAAATGGCAGAAATCAACAAGTACATTCTGGAAAACAGAGAGGAAGGTTCCCTCTCGGACCCCGAGTCTGACACCGTCTCTGGACACAGCTTGGATCCCAAGGCGACTCCGGGTGCTGAAGTGGCAGGGGGCACCCCGCTGGTGGTGGAGCAGGTCCGGGTGGTGGACGACGAGGGGCACCTGAAGGTGGTGTACCCATCCAAGACAGACTTGGACTTCGCCGCTGCCCATGTGACCGTGCTGCGCTGACGGCCAGGCTGCCACCCGAGGCTCCCGGGTTGCGCCATCCGCCGCGCCACTCCTCAGGGCTTCCGTGGGGTGATTAAACAGTTCTTCACCTCGGTGTTTTTAGGATATATGCACCCTCTGTTCAGTTCTCCATCCGCCTGCCGTGGGGGGAGGCCACGGTGTTGTGTGCTCAAGTCACTCCACCTTCACAGCTGGAGTGACTGCCAGTGGTCTTTATGAAGTCACTCAAATGTTGGAATTAACTGCTCACAGGGTTCTGCAGTCATGTAGACACACAGCAAATCACTGTATTCAGGGGGAAAAAGACACCATAATTGGTGTGAATGTTCAGCTCTAGGTTGAGAAGCTGAACCATGTGTGTTTTACTGAACTGCACAGTTATTTTTCTACAATTCGGGGTCTTTTAAAGTCCCCTGGCGCCAGCACCGCAGCTTAGAGACAAGGGACGACGTCAGGGTCTCCAGGTGCCGTAAACCATCATCTTTTTATAAAAACATTTTTTTAATGTGACCTTAGAATTGGTCAAATCATTTTTCTTACTAGTGCTGCTGAATGGTTTGGGGGTGGGCTGCAGAGCCTGCGGGGGGTGACAGCCCACCCCACCCACCGCACTGGCCAGACCCAGGGGCAGGGTGGGGGGCGGGGGGCACTCACTCTTTTGTAAACCAGCACCACCAGGGGTCATGCCTGAGTCTGGAGGACAGTATGCAGGTTTCCCACCACAAAACAGGCTTCCGGGCATGGACAGGATGGTCAGCCGTGGTCAGCTCGAACCAGGATGAGCTGATGGTACCTGGAGGAGACGTGAGGAGTCTGACAGCTGGCACCACAGGACATGTGCCCTGAGAGGCTCAGCAGCACCCAGCCTTCTAGGTGATTCCAGCTCCAGGCCGGCAGTTCTCAGGCTTCACTGCTCCAAGAGCAGCCAGGACGGGACAGTGGGACCCGCCAGCTTCCCCATTGTGAAGTGACACTGTGGCTTCTCTGCTGTTTGACCTGTGAAGGACAGTTAGTGTGTTCTACCAGAATGACAGTTTGGGGGAGGCATTAGCGAGAGCCCCACCAGACCCCAGTGTGCAGCTGTCAGCAGCAGAGGCCCACACCCCGCGCACACGGCCTGCTGCACAGCCACGTGGGTTTCCCAGGGCCCGGCCAGCCCACCTGGAAGGATGTGGCAGGGCTGCCCTGACACCCGACCCAGCTCTGCAGTCATCAGCATGACTGCTGGTCATCAGCCCTGGGGTGGCCACACTTGGCCAGGCAGAAGAGGGCGCCCGTGACAGTGTTCCCCAGACCTACCAGACATCTGCATCGTGCCTCCACGTTGTCACTCTGTGACCCTCTGGCTGTCAAGGCCGCTGATGCCGTGGCTGGGATGGGCGCGGACATCACAGCAAAGCCCTGCAGAGAGCTCTAGGCTGGGGTAACAGCCAAGCTGCTCCCTTGGCTCCCAGCTGGCTTCAGTGGCCACATGTCATCAGATCTCCCCTGATGGTGGGGAGGCTGCCAGCCCGCCGCTTTTTTCTGGGGCAGCTTGATTGTGTGTGAGGTTTGGAAACATATTTAATGTACAGCAGGAAAACTCTCTGATGTTTTTGTCAGTCCAGTCCTTTAATAAAAAATGTTCGATAAGAACATCAGGGCTCCTTCCCGGTGAATCCTTCCCAGGGTTTCTGGAGGAGGGTGTGGGGAGTGTCGGTGGGAGAACTGAGGACAAGGGGCCCCCTGGCCACAAAAAAACAAGACGCAGTTACCTCCTGTCACAGGGGCCTCGCCCAGAGAGGCTGCTGCCCTCGACCCCATCCTGGGCCTGGGAACCAGCTGTGGCAGTGCCCAGAGGACATCCACCCAGGGGCAAACACGAAGGAGTCAAGTTGCTGGGACCCCAGCAGACCCCCCCAATCCTGACCTGCTGAGGGAGGGGCCAAGCCCTTCCCCTCTTCTCCCTACTCCCCCAGGGCTGCCGGGACATGGCCTCCACCCTGGCTATGGGGTCCAGCTGGGGCCCTGGGCGGAGGGGTGGGGTTAGTGGGAGGGGTCTCCTGTGTGTGTGTGGGAGGGTACCCCGTGTGCCCCTGCCTGCAACCCCCACCGTGGGCCAGGCATGCAGTGCCAGCAGAGCCCAGGGGCCTAGGGCACAGAGCATCCTCCAGGGCGTGAGCTGGTGCCCCCAGCTCTCCATTCCGGGACCTGTTGGGTCATGGTGGCACATGGGGTAGGGCTGGCCAGACCCCAGCACTGTGTACAGCTGCCTGCTGGCAACCCCTGCCCACCTCCCTGCCTTGCCCCAGGCAAGACACTCCTGACCTGTGCATCGGCAGACCTGCTTCTGTGGTGGAGGGAGGGGGCTACCAGAGGAATGTGGCCCTGGAGGCTGCAGGCCATCTCAGAAGCCAGGGAGGCCAAGTCGGCCTAAGAGAGTAGGGGGGGTGGGGGGCAGGGGACAGCCAGGGTTACTCCTCCCTTCGGTCCTGCACCGTTGCCCTGCTCCTGGCCAAGGCTACAGCAGGCCTTGGGGAGGTCCAGCCCCTGCACCGCTGGCCTGGACTGCTGACCACTTAGAGCCCAGGGAGGCCACCCAGCCTAAACCTGCCAGGCTGGTGGCCCCTGCCCACCTCCCCACAGTCCCCACCCCAGTGCTAGTCCTAAGATGGCCAGAGGGGACTCCCAGAGGGGCATCAGAAAGAGGCCAGACAGGTGTGGATCAGCTGGTGCCCCCTCCCCGAGTGGGGGGGTCTCTCTGGAGGTGGATGCTGAGGCCCCAGAGGCCAGGGTGCTGGACAGGCCCTCCACCATGGCCCCTTACTCTGCCTTCCTACCCCCCCAGCAGCAGGCCCTGCTGAAGCATCACTGCTGGGGGAACCCCAGCCCAGCAGGGAACTCAAAGCCGAGGGGTCACCTGGGTGGTGCAGCCCCACCTCATGCTCACCTGACCCAGGCCTGCAGCCAGTCCCATGGGGTCTCAGCCCTCCCTGGCTGCTCAGTCTCTGATACCCAGGTCTGCGGAGCCCATGAGGGTCCTGACTGTCCTTCATCTCCTGCCCTCAACTCTAGAGTGAGGACTTTGTCCTAAGACGGTGTTTCTCACAAGGGTGCCCGGAACAGGAGGGCCTGAAGGCAGGGAGACGCTATCCATGGTCAGGAGACACAGGAGTAGGCCTGGCCACATTTGGAAACTCACCCTGCCCAGTGTTCTCACCTCCCGCCAGAGGGCCTGGCCAGGACTGGGTGTATCCCAAGGCCAGAGCTCAGCGAGAGGCCTCCCAGCCGCTGTCCAGATGCCCTCCAGCCAGTTTCACATCAGTCATGCCTCACTGGGGAGGCCCACAGGAGACACCATCATCCATGCTTTTGTTTAACAGACATTTAATGACCACCTCCGAGTGCAGGGTCTCGGGCCTCCCACAGGGTGCAGGCGGAAGGGCCAGCCTCCTGCAGAGCCCCCCGCCCCCCCCCGGGGCGGGGTGGACAGCCCCGGGGAACACGCCCACGTTCCTGGAGGGAAGACACAGCAGTGGGTCTTGGACAAGGGCTGAGGCCCCTCTCCCCCCTCTTCACAGGAAAAGACTCAGCCCCTGGGGAGGGTGGATGGACAGAGAGGCATACATACCCCTGCCCTTAGAGGCATCCTTCCACAGTGGGAGTCAGAAGGGCTAGAGAGGGGAGGAGCCTGCCAGGCGGGACAGAGCCCACCCAGGGAGCACCCCAGTAGGGAGAGAAGGGAGGTTTGGGGGCCCTGGGCTGCAGGCCTAGCCTGGGCGTGTCCTGCAGTCAGGTTGGGACTGGTCTCCCAGTCACGTGGGCCCCTGGGTGGGTATGTGCCAAGCATGCATGTGTGTGCCCCCATGTACCTGTGTCCCTGTTTGGCTGTTATGTCTGTGGGTGCCTGTGACAGCTGTGCACACTGGTATCCATGCAAGTCCCTGGAATCTGTGCATTGGTGCAAGGAATACCTGTATACATGGTGAGGGGCTGGGTATACATGGGGGTGCTGTGTATACATGGGGGGGCTGTGTTTACATGGGGGGCTGGGTATAAAACAGGGGGGCTGTGTATAGACAGCAGGGCTGTTATACAGGACTCGGAGTACACTGTGGTATGTGTAGGCAGGTGGGTCCATGCACATGGAAGGGTTCTCGCACACAGGGTGTCCCTCCAGCCCTGCTCCTGGGGGCGTGTCTGGGCAGCGTTTACTTGCACTTGTGCACGTAGTAGCCGGTGATGTAGCCCAGGATGAACACGACCCAGAAGAGGGCCACGCCCCCCAGCACCTTCATGGCGATGCCCAGCTTGCCCGAGCACAGCTTCTGGGAGACCCTAGGGTGAGAACCGCAGGCACGTGACCCCCGGGCAGCCCTGACTGGAGTGGGGATGGGAGCTGGGGGAGGAGGAGGAGTAGGCCCCGGGCAGCAGGGCAGCCTGGGCACTCTGAACTCGCAAGACAGGAGGGAGCAAGTGAAGGAACAAGTCAGAGAAAGTGTGGGGCCCGGGTCTGCGGATGTGGTGGCTACCAGGAAGGACAGGAGGGGTCTGCATAGGGAGAGGCGGGGCCCCTCCTTCCTGGCCCCTCACCTCTGCCAGCCTGAGGCCTCCTCTGTGCTGGGCCCGCTGGCCACATGGACTTCATCCGGGTGGCTGTTCTCCCACCTGCTGTACCTGATGCTACTCTCCTGGGGCTGCATCATGGGGGCACAGGGTTCTGGTAGGAGAGACAGAGGGTGGGCTGAGGCCTCCTGAGGCCTGTTCTACCCCCAGGGGGCCAGTGGTCCGGTTCCATGTGCCATTGCTTTTAGGGTGAGGGTCTGTCTGGGGGTGGGGCCAGGGCAGAGAGGCACTGAGGTGGGTTGGCTCCTTTGTGTGCTCACTCAGTCATGTCCAATTCTTGGCGACCCCATGAACAGGCTCCTCTGTCCATGGGACTTTCCAGGCAAAAATACTGGAGTGGGCTGCCATTTCCTCCTCCAGGGGATCTTTCCAACCCAGGGATCAAACACACATCTCCTGCATCTCCTGCATTGGCAGGTGGATTCTTTACCACTGTGCCACCTGAGAATTTCTTCCCACATCCTTTCATCTGGCTTTAGGGGTGCAGAGTGGTTAGGCCACTTGCCCAGGGTCACGTGGGAGGAGGCAAAGAGGGAATTCCAATAGAGTCTGAAAGTCTGCCAAACCCTGCCCTCAGGAATGTGAGAGGCTGTGTTTCCACCAGGCTGCTCCCCCCTGGGGGTCAGGCAGACACAGCTGCTGCAACCCTGCAGGGCCCTTGGCTGGGGTCAGGTCACCAAGCCTGATAACAGCCTGACCTCCTCCCATTCCTGCCAGATAAGACCCCAGGGCCTTCCTGGAGGCTGGGAGGCAAAGGGCTGGGGCCTGCAGAGCGGCAGGTCTGCAGGCAGCTGGTAGGGCTTGGCAGCAGCGGCAGTAGCTGTGAATTCTGGCCTGTCACAGTTGCAACCCCTCCCTCACCTACTGCTATGCCCTGCTGGTGGTCAAGGGGCTTGAGAGGCCCCTCACTTTTAGAGGCCTGAGACTTTGGTGCGAAAACCTGAACTGTCTTCCAGGTAATCTGGGACAGAGGCTTAAAGGCACAGTGAGCCACTTAGCAAGAAGCCAACCCAGAAATTCACGAAACCAGGCAGTTCTGAACCTCCTTCAACCCCCTCCAAGTTGCCCTTTCCCAAATCTCAGACTCAGAGGATGAAGGAAGGGAGCTTGTCTCAAAGCCACAAAGCCTGTCCTTCCCGTGGGAGCCTGTGCTCTGGGGGCAGCCATGCAGGCCAGGTCTCAGGCCCCAGGGAGGCCAAACATTTGTTGACTGTGGATTCTGCTTTCCCACAGTGTGTCCAGCAAAGGGGCTGTGAGCCGGCTCTGTGAGCTACCTAATGTCCACCCCTCCCTCCTGTGACCAGAACCCCTGTCTTGTTCCAGGCTGCAGTGTCCCAGCCCCAAGTAATGCTCATGGGCTAAAACAAGCTTTGATTGCTGCTTTGGATGGCATCACCGGCATCAGTTTGAGCAGGCTCTGGAAGTTGGTGATGAACAGGGAAGCCTGGCGTGCTGCAGTCCATGGGGTTGCAAAGAGTTGGATATGACTGAATGACTGAACTTAACTGAACTTCCCATGACACCTAGATATGAGCAAGGTGCTGGAGAGCAGCAGGAGCATGAGGCTTTTGCTTTTGTGAAAGAGAATAGCCACCTCCTTCTCTCTTCCTTGATGTGATGGCTGGAACTGAGCAGCCACTTTGCAGTCTGGATATCCTGCAACACTACCTGGTGGTGCTGAGTCTTCAAATGCACACCCACTGCCCACCTGTGGGTTTCTTGGTGTGAGGATGGCCAGCCCAATCTGCTCCAGCCTGGGATAGTGGGGTCCTGGTGTTTGTGATAGAACTGGTTCCTGACTGATGTGGACTGTGGCCCTCAAGTCAACCTGGCTGGACAAAGACACCAAAAGTTGCTGATGTGCTGGAGCCAAGGTCTGAAGGCTTTGCTCACTCATCTGTAGCAAGCTGACCAACCCACACCTGATGGCCACAGTGTCACAGGATCCTGGGGCTGTGCTGCCTGGCAGGGACACCTGCTGAACCCTGGAAGCCTCACTCCCAGGGGTACCACTGCCTCTTGGGAGTGTGTGGGGACAGAGTTCTGGGCACACAGGGACTATACATACATTAAGACCCCCTCACCCCAATGCACCTCCAAGGAGCCCACGACTTACAAGGGGAGAGTCCTGACGTCGGGGATTGAGGCCTCTGCGATCCAGGAAGATGGTCAGAGCTCGGGTCAGTGAATCTCACCTCCCAGCTCGCAGTTCTGGGTCTGGGGAGTCTGAGAATTCTCCAACCTTAAAGAAAGAGAAAATAAAAAGTGAAGAGGAGCAAGAGTAAGGAAGGGAAAGGGGCTCTGGGGTGTCCCAAGTGGCAAGCAGGAGCTCGCCCGGCAGTTGGCCTCGGGGGTCTGTGGGCCGGGGGACCATTCAACCCCGCCCCCACCCCAGCAGCTCCACTTTTCCGGGCCGGCCGCTCGCAGGCCAGGGAGACCGCGGCCCCGAGGGCGGGGGGCTGCAGAAACCAAGCCCACCACCTCCTCCCACTGGCTACTCGAGGAAGCTGCACTCCGACCCCGCGTTTTACCTGGCTCGACAGCCCCCAGCCGCTCCGCGCCGCAGACGTGTCCCGGGCAGGAGTCGGGCGGGGCTTAGAGGGGGCGTGGTCGGGTGCGCGGCGGGGCCTGAGCGGGGGCGGGGCCTTGGGGGAGGCGGTGGGTGGTGGGATCTGGGCAGGGGGCGGGGCGTAGGCTCGATGGGCGGGGCCTAAACGGGGAAGTACCTGGGGCCGTGGGTGGGTGGGTGTGGCCGCAGGATTCCTAAACCAGGGGTAGGCCTGGAGGAGGAGCGGGGCGCTTCCCGGGGGCGTGGCGGGGGCGGAGCAAGCCAGAGCCCCAGACCTTCCAGGAGTCGCGTTCCTCGGGCTGCAGGGTCCTGAGCGCGCCCCTTGGCGGTGCCTAGACGCGGCTGGGATTTCCGGACCGTCTCCCCACTGTCGCAGTTTCCGTGCCGGGAGCCGGGCTCGAGCGCAAGAGCGGGTCCCGGGTGCACCTGCCGGGCTAGAACCGAGGCACTAGGCGGTTCGAGGAGGCTCCCGGGGCGTGTGCAGTTAGGCGCCGGTCTTCGGGGGCCTTCTGCTCTCTCGGAGAGGCTAGAGGCCTGGGCCCGACGGCCATGCACCTGACGCCCTCAGCGGGCGGACGCTGCAGGAACGAAAGGATGCGTGGACAGGTGGGGGTGGAGAGCAAAGAGAAGAGGCAGAGGACCCAGTCCGCTCAGCACGCGTTTGTGTGCGGGGCACAGACCTCTGTACAGCACAGACAGGCGAGCCGGTGCTCTGCACAGCTGTCATCACCAGAGCGATGGACGGTCAGAGACGTGCGCAGGCCGACCCTCCTCCTTCCGCAGGGTCGCAACAGCAGAGCAGTGCCCCGGCAGGGCACCCCAGCGGGAGAGCCCCGCAGGTGTGTGCAGCTGGCGTCAGAAAAGGACCCCTGTGGGGGTGTGAACCAAATGCGGTGGACAGGAGCCCAGTTCAGGCCTCCTACACCTGGGACCACCAGAGGGCACCGTGTTCAGTGTGGGGTGTCCCCAGGGAGGAGCCATGGGTGCAAGCTGCTGTGCTGACCCCCAGTGAGCTGTGGAGTGGGAAGGGGTGTTCATGTAACCCAAGCTCCCCTCTGTGTCCTAGTGAAGGAGAAGGTGAGACCACGGCCAGCAGCAAGTGTAATTCTGAATCAGAGGGCCAGGGTGGGGCCACAGGTGGGGGAGGGGGTGATGGAGGGAAAGGGGGCACTCAGGGTGCACCCAGGCTGGGCCCTGGCCTCTGCTGTGCTGGCTGCACCTAGGGTCTGAGCTGGGCCTCCTTGGAGCTTATCTTCTTGGACTTGCTGGGTGAGGATAAGATCTCCATCTGCTGCAGGGGGGGCACCTTGACCCCCTTCTGTTTCAGCTGGTTGTAGTAGTCTATTCGGTCTGAGATGATCCTCTAGAAAAAACACCCAGTAGTGTCCACACAGGCCTTGCCGGTTCCTGGGACACCGCCCTGTTCCCCCCGAGAAGGGCCTGCTGCCACAGTGCTGTGCTGGTGAATATTTACAACCTTTCCAGGAGGGGGAAAAAAAGCTCTGGTTTGTAGCATTTGCCAATTTCTGTGCTGAAACTACTCCCACCAAGGCTGATCCAGCTACAGGGTGAAGCCAGAGAACTCAGAGCTGGGTAGAGATGCCCACCATCCAGGCCAGCTCACTCCTAGAGCCTGGGCCAGATCCACTTCTTCGTCCTCTGGGAATTGCTAGGAGCCTACACTCCCAGAGACATCAGAGGCTGTCAAGTCTGACCCTCAGGGCAAAGTCTCTTCTACCCTCTGTGCAGGAAAGCTGCCCTGCACCCTCCTTAGCCTCCTTCTTTCTCTCTGGCCTTTTGCTGGTTTGTGCTGGGGGTGGGGGGGTGTGGGAGAGGGGCAGGTGTTGGCAAGGGAAGGAGTTCTTCCCTGGCTACTGGTGGGTGGTGATGACTCCTCCTATCCCCCTCCCTCCCTCCCTTCCTCGTAATCCTCTCCCTCACTGTCTTCCTGCCACCCCCATCATCCCCTGTCCCTCCCTCCCTCTCATAACCTCTCTCCTCCTTCCTACTCCCATCCCTCCCCTTCCTCTTTCTCCTTCCCACCCCCCACCTCCTTCCCTTGCCCCAAACAATAGTAGTCACAGAGACCTCTCCCCAGGTCTCCATGCAGGGGTCCCCCTCTGCCCTGAGGACTGGCCACCCTACAAGAGTGCTAGTAACCAGGGGCCCACCCAGCCTCACAGAAGAAAGGAACCAGGCCCCAGGGACAAATGGGCCAGTGGCAGGTCACAGGTAGCTGCTGGGGTCAAGGGTCATGCTGTTGGAGGAGGCTTGGAAGGCAGGCGCCCTCTCCCTGGTACAGAGGGATTGCTCTAGGGCTCAGCAAGTCAAGTGACCAGCCCACAGCTGTGAAGCCAAGGTCCCAGGGTGGTGACACTCCTGCCAGCCCCAAAGCCATATTATTTCTCCTAAACCTCCCTGCCCCTCTGAAACTTTGGCTTGTTGGTGAGGAGCTGGTGTGGGCTGAGGCCGGGGAGGGGGTCCATACCAGGCTCCCAGCTCAGCATCGATTCCAGCTGAGGCCATGCTGAGATGCAAAGAAGCATCCTTGGGGGAGCTGGGCTGGGCAGAGCCTAGGGCTGGGCTCCCACTGCAGGAAAACCCAGGACCCAGCTGTTTGGCTCCCTCCCTACCACACCAGGTGGGTTTCGGCTGCTGATGGCTGCTGAACACTGACAGCAGCTCCAGGATGTTGTTCCCTAACCCCTTAGGGAAATCTAGTCCCCTCTGCCTGAGCAGAGAGAAAGGGCCATGCTGGGGTCACGGTGAAAGCAAGATACCACCAGGACAAGAATGGGGGCTCCTAACCTCCCATCCAGTCTTCTCCCCTCTGCTCCCGGCTGAAGATCCAGGAGCTCTGGCCTAGAGATGGGTCCCCAGGCACAAGGAGGCCTCTGAGCACCGTTTATACCTGCAAGCCTTCCAGGATGTCATTGTCAGATATCTCAGTGGCCAAGTTCTTGATCCCTATGGTGTTGAAGGTGGCCTGGATGATCTTGTTCCTCAGTCTTTCAAGCTGTGAGCACAGAGGAGAAACAGCCAAGCTCGCCTTGAGCAGGGAGACAGTATTCTCCACACCTGCCGCCTCTCTGAGGTTCCAGGAAAGGTGGACCTGGCTTCAATTCTCCTGCTTCAGGAGCTGCAAACAATGTGCGAGTGGTCAGCATGGTCTCCTGCAAACTGGAAGGGACCTGATCAAAACCCAGACCCAGGAGGCCTAACACCAAAACCCAAAGACTCTCTACTACACCACGTTTGTTTGCTTGTTTCTTAATTGAAAAAGCAAAACCTGCACATGGTCAAAACAAAACTCTGAATGACCCCCCAGGCCATCCTCTGTCCCCCAGAGGAGCTTTAGCCACAGTCTCCCAATGACCCACAGCAGACAACCTGCAGACTTGGCCAACCCTGTGATGGGCATTATACTCCCAGCCCATCCTCCTTCCCCAAGTGACCTAGAAGCACTCCATGCTGTGGACATCCGCACTAACCAGGCATTAGCCAGGAGTTAAGCAGCTTGAGCCACCGAGCCTGTCTAGTCTTTGGCGGCCATCGGCAGCCTTGTGCATAGCAGGAGGCCGGCCCCAGCAGGAGGGAGAACACAGCTGGTTAGAGGCAGCACTCTTTGTTGGCCAGTGGGGAAAATGTCATTTCAAAAGCCAAGTCAGCTCTTGACTGATGGTTTCCTGCTGTACCTTTGCTCACATCTATCAGGGGCTCAGAGTGAGGACCCGAGACCTCACACCCCAGCACCGCCTCCACACAGCTCTGGAACCTCAGATGGGCTGTTTGTTCTCTGTGCTGCAGGTGCCAGGACACCAGCAGTACCCATGTCATGGCTTTGTTAACAGGGTTGAATGACTTTAATAAATGCTCAGAACAGCACCTGACCCACAGCAAATGTTCTCTAAGTTATAAATAGACGGCATTATTACTACTACATCCCTCCCACCTCAGACTCTCCCTGGCTGGCCACCGCATCCCTGAGTCTCTTTCACAGCACAACTCAAGGGGCTTCTCCATAAATGAAGCCCCTGCACTCAGCTCTTTCCGGCCACTACAGCTGACCAAGATGGCCACATCACACCCTCGCCCCCTCCTCCACCAGCATTTCTGGACACAGAGAGAGGGAAGCCCAGAGCACTTGGTGCACAGTCCCCAGGATGGCGGTTCCCAGGGATGGCAGTGGTGGGCAAGGGCCCCAGTGCAGGCCCTTAGGAGGCAGGAGTCGGGCGTACCCTGGCCTGGGCATATTCCAGGGCCTCGCGGGCCTGCTGCTCTGCGTGCTGGATCATCTCGTTCTTGTTCTGCATCTCCTCCTGGAGCTGCTTCCGCCTCTGCAGGTGGTTCTGGCTCTGATTCACCTGGTTCTGCAGCTGGTTGACCTTGGCCTCCAGCTCCGAGATGGTCTTTTCCCTCTTGGCCAGTTCACTCTCCAGCTCTGACACTTGCTGGGTGGCGGGGAGCAGTAGGTCCACTTTCCCACCCCTCCTTCTCCCAGAGGCAGCCGCCTTTCCCTGAGTTCCTCCAGCCAGCCTGGCTCTGGCTGTGGCCAGCTTCCCAGTGGGTGTCCGGGGCTCCAGATTTACTGAACAGGGTACCATCTGAAATGAGGGGCTCCCACCCAGCTGCCTCTCTCCCTGCCACCATCAGGACCTGTGGCTGCCCCCCCTCCATCCACCCCAAGGGCACCTGTCTGAGGAGGAGGTTGTTGTTCTCGATGAGGCCCATTGTTTCCTGGTACTTCTTGTCTTCCCGGAGGTTGGAGAACTGCAAGGCAACAGGGGTTCGCTCAGGGGCTGGTGGGGGGAGATAGATGACTGCCTCCTTGAACATTCCTCCCTGAACCTCAGTAAGATGAAGGGAAGTATCGGAATTTCTGATGAAGGGGGAAGGGAGGAGGGGAAGGTATCAAACACACTTCGGAAGCTGGGAGGCAGACCCAAGGAAGCAGACTTCCAAGCCAGCAGCGGGGAGAGCTGCAAACAAGCCCAGTTCACAGCTCAGAGTCCCTGGAAATCTCAGAAGTGGGGGATGGTGCCGGGCTCTTCTGGACGTGGAGGCCGACACGAGGAGGAACATCATATCAGAAATCAGGAGCCGCAGGCTCAGGCCTGACCAGGAGCTGCCGGGCACCTGCCCCCTTTTCCATCTGTCAGGAGACTGGAGGCGGGGTTGGGGGAGGTGGGGAGAGGATCTCTGGCCTGGGAGATGCCAGGCCATGCGATGGAGACCCCTGGCGACAGATGCAGGATGTGGGGCTGAACGTGGAGACTACAGCCTCTGCCCCACTTTGTCCTGAAACACCAGCAGCTGGACCATTGATTGCACTTGGGCAAGGAATTCTTCCAGTTTCCCAGATTCCAGGAGAATCTGAGCAAGCCAAGGGGAAGGCGCCAACGGCAGGACCATTGAACTAACTCTCCATTGATGTACCCAAGCACAGTTCTCTGCCGTGAAACCCAAAATGGTCACCCACAGTTTGAGAGACTCCAGGCAGCTCTGACCTTGGAGCAAAATTCTTGAAGGAGTAACAGAAACTGAAAACAGACTTACAAAAGGAGCTTATAGGAAATAGAAACGGCACAAGAAGTCAAATCCCTTTGGCATCTCCCATAACTATCACTTAAGTTGTTAAGGAGGTCAGAGACATATGGCCATTAAGAAATAAAACATGAGTGTGCTTCTAAATAAAAGGGAGTGGAGAAGGAACATTCAGAGAACAAAAGCAACATCTTAGAAACTAAATGAAACAAAGTTAAAACTCAAGAGGAGAGCTTACCTGCTGGCTCAGTGGCAAAGAATCTGCCCATATGCAGAAGATATGGGTTGGATCCCTGCCTTAGGAAGATCCCACATGCTGGGGAATAATTAAGCCTGCACACTACAACTATTGAGCCTGTGCTCTGGAGCTTGGGAGCTGCAACTACTGAAACATGTTTATGAAACTCACGGCCCTAGAGCCTGTGCTCCACAACCACAATGAGAAACCTGCTCACTGCAATTAGCGAGTAGCCCCTACTCGCTGCAACTAGAGAAAGCCTTCATAGCAATGAAGACTCAGTGCAGCCAAAAATTAAACAAACAAATAAAATAAAATTATTTTTTTTTAAAAAACTCAGGAAGAGGACTGCTGATAAAGGTAAGGAAATCTAAAAGTAGAACAAAAAGACAAGACAGTGAAAGGAACAGACAGGAAGGAGAAAGAGCCCCAAAGAGGAGGTCTGCTGGCTGATTGATGGGGTTGCCAGAAGGAGAGTTCAGAGAAAACAAAGACTGGGACTAAAAACTATGTAAACAGAGAACGGTTTCAGAACAGAAGGATACAAGTTTCTAGCTGGCTACTGAGTGCCCAGGACAAATGAGAACAGACCCTTAATAAGGTCCACCTATGGCAGCTTCCCTGATGGTTCAGATGGTAAAGAATCTGCCTACAATGCAGGAGACCCGAATTTCATCCCTGGGTTGGGAAGATTCCATGGATGAAGGGAATGGCAACACACTCCAGTACTTTTGCCTGGAGAAGAATTCTATGGACAGAGGAGGCTGGCGGGCTACAGTTCATGGGATCGCAAAGAGTTGGGCACAACTGAGCGACTAATACTTTCATGGAAGCTTCTGAATATGAGGGATAAACATGGGATCTTGTAACTTCACAGAGAGGAACCAACCACCACCAAGAACTATGTCATAAGAAAGCTCAAGAATCAGGTTGAGTTTGTGCTTCCCTCTAGGAACCCTGGAAGCTCAGAGACATGAAGTGGTGCCTTCACACTGCCAAGGAAAAGCAGTTGCCAAACCGGAATTCTGTTCCAACCAACTTCTGTTAACGTGTAAGGACATTTGCAGAATATGATATCTCCCAAATTTTACCTCCACTCCTCTTTCTCAAAAAACTACTGAAGGATGTGCTCCAGTGAAAATGTGAGGGTAGACCAAGAAACAAAGATGTTGATGGCAGCAGCTTTAAAAAGTGGTTTATGGATCTCAATACTGTTTCACAAGATTTGTGTTTCTGTCATATATCACAGGCCCAATAACTGTCTCAGTGATATAAATGCTGTGTCCACTCACTAATGCTGTGAGGAAATAGTATTGAGAGCTGAGTTCCTGGGGGTGGGGAGGCAGGGGAGGAAAGAGGGAAGCATTAGATAATGCCAAGATGGAGAAATATCTAAAATGCCTTATAAGCATGCTGTCTAGAAACGTGGAAAGCCAGTCATCAAGAATTAGCTAGAATAGTTGAAAGCATTTGTCTTGGGGAATGGGCAAATGAGAAAGAAAAGAGTTGGACTCCTGTCTTATATAATAAGCTTGTGGAATTGCTTGGTTCCTTAAACTATGTAGCTTTGTGCATGGAAAACATGGATAAAAATGAAAACTAAAAGTGCTTCAGGGAATTCCCTGGCCAACCAGTAGTTAGGACTCACTGCCCAGGATGCCAGTTCAATCTCTGATTGGGAAACCTAAGAACTCACAGGACACTCAGCATGACCAAAAACAAAATAGTAAAAGTACTTCACAAGGACTAAAGGTCATGGTGTTCTCAGTCCTGGGACCATGGACTGGGAGATGCTTGAGAAATGGCCAGAAGCCTAGTGGTCCAGGAGACAGAGATGACCACTGGGGCCAGAGGGCAGCCCAGCATAGAGCATGATGTGCTGTGAACCCCAGGCCCACCACTCTCAGCTCCTGAGTCCAGCGTCTCTGTCAGGGGGTGGGGGCGGGGATGGATGGCATGTGTCCCAGCACGACAGAGGACGCCGTCACCTTGTCAGACATGGCCTGCAGCTGTTTCTTCCGCTCTCGCAGCTCCTTCTGCAACATCTCATTCTCCGTGTTGATTTTCAGCAATTGCGACTCTTGGAATTCCACCTGTCGCTGTAAAGACTTGATGGCTCCTGCATGAGGCGAGAGCAAGAAGGCAGGAGGGGGCCAGTCACTGTACCATCCCTCGGGCTCCGCAGAGCTCCAAGCTGAGGAGTGGCTGCCTGCTCCCATCCCAGGGGTCCAGTGCTGCCCCCGCATGGTCCCGGCCAAGAGGGACCCAGGGCAAAGTGGGTGGTCCTGGGCATCCTCACTGCAGGTCCCACCTTGGCCTCCTCTGACACCCCACCTGTTGCCAGGGAGTATCTGGTCCCGGTGATCTCAAGCTGAAACTGGAACTCCTGGATCAGCTGCTCGTACTCCTCCAGCTGGGCCATCAGCTCCTCCTCAAAAGTGTCATCCACGAAGCCGCCCCACCTCCTGGCCATGGCCTCCTCCTCCTGCAGCTCCTTCTCCTCATCCAGCTCCATCACCTCCTCCTTGTCCTCTTCCTCCACCTCCCCGGCCCCATACCCATCTCTGTCCTCGTCCTCATCCTCCTGCGCAGTTACCACGGCCACCGCCTCCTCCTTGCTTCTGCTCTCCTGCAGAGCTTCCCTCCTGCTGGCTCTAGCCCTCGCCCCTTTGTCCGCTGCCCTCTTGGCCTGCCCTTCCAGATACTCTTCCTCCTCGTAGTCGCCTCCTTCCAGCTCCTTGCCTCTGTCGCACTCTTCCTGCTGCTGGGGAAGGGAGGGGAGGGGATGCTGGACAGGGCTTCGGACAGCCCCGGGAGGGAGGCTTGAACCTTCATGGGGGCATTGGGAGGATGGTGCTGCAGGGACATCGGCCAGCTCCTCTCGGGTTCCATCTCCAGGAACCGCCCCACCACCCCTCCCCTGATGTGGCTGAGGGCTCAGTCTGGGTGAGGGCCAACAGGTTAGGACAGCGGGTGGGACGCTGCAGCCTGGGCATCTCCCGGGCAGCCTGGGGGACCAGGCCCCAGCCAGCCCACACCTGCCGCCAGTGCTCCGCGTCCTCCTCATCTCGGAAGGTTCTGAGGGTGCTCTGTCTTCCCTGCAGCTTCGGCACAAACTCCAACGGCCACTCCTGAGAGATGCCCTCTGAAACCCTGCAGCCTCAGGGTTTCAACCTGGGCTTTCGGCTCCCCCAGGGTCCATGTCGCTGAGACCTGTCCTCCCTGAAGGGGGCCCACCATTCCCCCAGCGGGGTTGCTCTGTCTGTGGGCAGGGGGCCAGGCCATGTAGCTGACAGCTCTGGGGGTAGCCCTGGTGAGCGACCCAGCAATAACAAGCATGCTATTTTGGAAGAGTCTGCGGGGGCCAACCTCAAACACGCCCACAGTCACTGCCCCCCACTGCCTGCTCGCTGACAGCTCCTGGAAGGCTGGGGAACGGGGGGACACAGGACCATGCTTCCAGGCTTTGCAGACTCCTGCTGCCTCCCTGTCCACTAGTCCCCCACCATCGGTGTCTGGGTAGCTTTTTCTGGAGGCGTCCAGAGGATCCAGCAGGGGTCTGAATCCCCTACCCCCACTTCAAGTGTGGACCCAGCATAAATGCAGGCTGTATCCTCAGATGTGAAAGAAACCAGGTCTCAGACCAGGTGACGGCCCCCAGGTCCCCACCCTACCCTGCCTCCTCCAGTGCCCACCCTACACCTGGGGTGGAGGGGGTCAGCATGCCATGCCCACGTTACAGGCAAAGCCCCGTCCCAGAGCCAGAGCAGGCCAGGCTAGTCCACGGAGCGCCTGCCGCTGCTCACCTGCAAGACATGGCTGGGCATAGCCTCCAGGCTCTTACTCTTCAGGAGGCATTTCAGCTGCTTCCTCAGGGCCTCCCTCTCCTCCTGGAGAGCCAGGATCTCTTCCTGTCTCTTCTGAACCTGCGCTTCCATCTCCGAGAGGCGTTGGACTTCCTCCCCCAATGCCAACAGACTCTGGTTCTGAGGAGAAACGGGGCAGCCCGGGGGGCCACTTAGCCACTCAGACGCCCCTGCCACACCCTTCCCTGGCCCCCTAGAGCAGCAGCTCTGGGACCAGGAGGACCCCGTGACCCCAGCCCAAGGTGAGGGGCTTCTCACCTGCAGCCCCCTCCTGCTTAAGGGCCATCCTTGCCCGGGATCTCCTGGCAGCCTCCCCTCCAGGCCCTGGGCCCAGTCAGCCCCCAGGTGTGATCGAGGACACGTAAACAGCACCACCCTCCAAAGACCACTTCCAAGGGTCTTGTCTGGGCTGGGTCTACTGCCCCTCAGAGCCTCAAAGCCCTCAATCATTCCAAATTGAAGACCAAATAAAGGTGATTTTGGACAGTCACTGAGAGAATTTGTCATCATCAGAGCTGAACGACTGACAGAAATGCAAAGGGGATTCTTCAGGCAAGAGGGAGATGGTCCCAGATAGAGTCTGAGGAAAAGATAACTAGGAGGTTGTCCAGATATCTAAGAATTAAATGATAGGCTTTCATGGAGCCCACGAGTCAAAGAAGCCACACAAGTAATTATGAGGCATTTTAGACAGAATAATAACAAATACTTAGACATGGCATGACATGGGGTGTAGCAAAAACTGTGATTAAGGGCAAATTTATAGGCTTTGAATGTAATAATTAGGGGAAACAATGGAATATCAATGATCTAAGTGTCCATCTCAAGCATTCAGAAAAAAGAACTGGAAACTTCACTTAAAGAACATAGCAAAAAGGGAATTTTTAAAAATCAGGGCAAGAATGTGTGACATAGGGACTTCCCTGGTGGTCCAATGGCTGAGACTCCGTGCTCCCAATACAGGGGGCCCAGGTTCCATCCCTCATTAGGGAGCTAGATCCCCTGTGTCACAACTAAGACCAGGTGCAGACAAATAAATTAAAAAAAAATTTTTTTTTTTTTAATGAATGAATGACATAGGGAAACAGAGAAAGGAGGAGAGGAGAGGAGGATGGAGCAAATTGGCAACATTTTAACATTTGGAGAATCTGGAGGGTATATGGGAATTGCTTACACTATTAAGTTAAAATAGTCATAGAGGGACTGCCCCAGTGGTCCAGTGGTTAAGAATCTGCCTTGCAATGAAGAGGACATTGGTTCAATCCCTGGTTGGGGAACCAAGCTGGTTTAAAACTTAACATTCAAAAAGTTAAGATCACAGCATCTTGTCCCATCACTTTACAGCAAATAGAAGGGGAAAAAGTGGGAGCAGTGACCGATTTTATTTTCTTAGGCTCCCAAATCACTGCGGACAGTGACTGCAACCAAGAAATTTAAAGACACTTGGTCCTTAGAAGCAGAGCTGTGACAAACCTAGATAGTGTATTAAAAAGCAAAGACATCACTTTGCCAACAAAGGTCTGTATAGTCAAAGCTATGATTTTTCCAGTAGTTGTGTATGGATGTAAGACCATAAAGAAGGCTGAGCACCAAAGAACTGATATTTTCGAAATGTGCTGCTGGAGAAGACTCTTGAGAGTCTTCTCTTGGACAGCATGGAGGTCAAACCAGTCAATCCTAAAGGAAATTGACCCTGAATATTCATCGAAAGGACTGATGCTGAAACCCCAATACTTTGGCCACATGATGTAAAGTGTAAACTCATTAGAAAAGACCCTGATGCTGGGAAAGATTGAGGGCAGGAGGAGAAGGGGGTGACAGAGAATGAGATGGTTAGATAGCATCACGAACTCAATGGACTTGAACTTGAGCAAACTCTGGGAAATAGTGAAGAACAGAGGAGACTGGTGTGCTGCAGTCCACAGGATCATGAAGAGTCAGACACGATTGAGTGACTGAACAATAACAACAAATGTGTCCAGAGCAGACTCAAGTCCTGGAAGGCGATGCTGGTTTCCAGTGGGGATGCTAACTTTGCAACAGCACATACTTGCTGCTTCAAGTGATGCTGCCTACAACAGGGCCAACGAAGAGAGAGGTGAAAGAAAGAAGACCCTGAAGACACGGTGTGAGCCCCTGGAGACAGCCCAGCCTGCAGTCCTTCCCCAGGAATTCCTTTTCTTGACAAAACTGCAGAGAGCATCCTTTTACATATGTCTATGTTCAGTTCAGTTCAGTTCAGTTCCTCAGTTGTGCCTGACTCTTCCCGATCCCATGGACTACAGCATGCCAGGCCTCCCTATCCATCACCAACTCCCATAGTTTACTCAAACTCATATCCATTGAGTCATTGGTGCCATCCAACCAACTCATCCTCTGTCATCCCCTTCTCCTCCTGCCTTCAATCTTTCCCAGCATTAGGGTCTTTTCAAATGAGTCAGTTCTTCGCATCAGGTGGCCAAAGTATTGCAGCTTCAGCATCAGTCCTTCCAATGAATATTCAGGACTGATTTCTTTTAGGATGGACTGGTTGGATCTCCTTGCAGTCCAAGGGGCTTTCAAGAGTCTTCTCCAACACCACACTTCAAAAGCATCAATTTGTCAACACTCAGCTTTCTTTATAGTCCAACTCTCACATCCATACATGACTACTGGAAAAACCATCACTTTGACTAGATGGACATTTGTTGGCAAAGTAATGTCTCTGCTTTTTAATAAGCTATCTAGGTTGGTCATAACTTTTCTTCCAAGGAGCAAGTGTCTTTTAATTTCATGGTTTTCATCACCACCTGCAGTGATTTTGGAGCCCCCAAAAATAAAGTCTCTCACTGTTTTCATTGTTTCCCCATCTATTTGCCATGAAGTGATGGGACCAGATGCCATGATCTTAGTTTTCTGAATGTTGAGCTTTAAGCCAACTTTTTCACTCTCCTCTTTCACTTTCATCAAGAGGCTCTTTAGTTCTTTGCTTTCTGCCATAAGGGTGATGTCATCTGCATATCTGAGGTTATTGACATTTTTCCTGGCAATCTTGATTCCAACTTGTGCTTCATCCAGCCTGGCATTTCGCATGACGTAATCTGCATATACATTAAATAAGCAGGGTGACAATATACAGCCTTGACATACTCCTTTCCCTATTTGGAACCAGTCTGTTGTTCCATGTCCAGTTCTAACTGTTGCTTCCTGACCTGCATACAGATTTCTCAAGAGGCAGGTGAGGTCATCTGGTATTCTCATCTTTTGAAGAATTTTCCACAGTTTGTTGGAGAAAGGAATGGCAAACCACTTCAGTATTCTCGCCTTGAGAACCCCATGAACAGTATGTCTGTGTAACTCTATCTAATTATACCCTCAGGCTATTTTCCAAAGGTGGAATTATTGGTCAAATGGTATCAATGCTCTTTAAATTGTGAAATCTAAAAAATTAAAAAAATTTAAAAACCAAACTGTGAAATCTTTCATAAAATTAAAGGTACAGTTTTGGGAATAAAGATAAAATGAATGCTCGTGGACCCATATTATCAGGGCTCACCAGTCCCCACTGTGTGCTCATGACGAACCACCCAGCATCTTGTGTGGCTTACTTCCACAGTTGTTAGTGCTTCATGAGCTTAAAAAAATTTTTTTGAAAAAACCTGAAACTGACTCTAAGAGACTTTTTACATTGATAAGACCAGTGGAGGGAGAAAGAGAGAAGACACAGATTAGCAATGTCAGAAACAAAAAATCAGTCTTCTTCAGAATCTTCTCCAGACACTGGAAGGATACTAAGAGAGTCTTGTGCACAGAATGAGGCTCCTAGATTTGAAAACTGACATGAATTGGACACCTTCTTAGAAAAACATAGCTTTCCAAACCTGGAACAAGCAGGAGAAGGAAATTTGAATATTTTTAAAAGGAATTAATTTTTTTAAAAAACCTGTAAGAAATCACCAGGCACAAATGACTTCAATAATGAAATCTTTAGAATTTAATAAAGAAACAACAACCACCTTAGGTGAACTCTTCCAGAGAATCCACAAAGAAGGAACGCTTCTCAACTTTTGCTGTTGTTACTCGGCCAGAAGACTCTGACCTCAAAAGCAAACAATGGGATGACAAGGCTGGTAAATTATGGGCCAGCCTCTCTCACAAACGAGGATGAAAAAGATGATATCATGATGAATGAACCCATAGGCAGATCTTTGCCCATCAAGTTGATTGTTATTACTGTGTTAAGGAATACAGTCTCCCAAGTGGAATGACTGGGTTGAAAGCCTATGGATGCTGAAGGTCTTGACACATGGGGCAAAGCTGTGTAAGAGGGGACAACATTCAGGCCAGCCTAAACTGCTCCCCATGAGGAAGAAGACAGATAGGAACCTGGCCTGTAGAAGCCACGAGAGAGGGTCTAAAGGTCAGTTCAGACTGCGTCTGGGACTGGAGACTAGAACAAGAGCCCCGAGAACCAGGCATCCCCTCTGGCAGGACGTAGAGCTGGGACAAGAGGATCAGGATCTGTGCCCAGGCTCCGTGCCCAGCCATACCTTCTCATGGATGATGGAGATGTACCAGGGTACCCGCTTCCTCGGGTAGCTCTGCCCCAGGTCGGGGCTGCTGGGAGTCGGGCTCAGCACCTGGGACTCGCTCTTCTTCCGCAGGTAGTTGAATTCACAGGCACTCTTGCTAAGGGGAAGGAGGCGGCCTGTCAACAGGGGAGGTGGGCGGGGGGGGCAGTCAGACTCTTCCTGTGCTGAACAACCCTGGATCTTCTGTAACATCCCTCTTTTAAGAGTCCGCCAGAAGCCCTTCCCTGCCTGGCTGGGCTCCTCTCCAGCTCCCAGTTCTCCCGCACTCATCCCCACCACCCCCATCCCAGTGTGCATAAGCGGCATCCGAGCCCCCTTCAGGGTCCCAGAGCTGGAGTCAGGACAAGATGCTGCGGGCGCGCAGGGGGCACTTCCAAAGTGAAGCAGACTCCCGGGTATGGATTTCATCTCTGGGTAAACAAAAGTGTGTGTCTGTAGGAACGGTGCATGGGTGTCCCTCTACTCAAGGACAGATGCGTCCCAGGGCCCGTGTGAGGAACACGGGGCCAGGCAGCTGGTCCTGGGAAGGCAATTCCATGGGGCACCATAGGAATGGAGGGAACAGGGGCCCTCAGAACTGGGGTGCCAAGGAAAGAACCCCATGGGCCATGCACACCCCAGTGTCCCACACGGCCCACCCTCACCGTCCACCTTCACGTCCAAGCCTTGCTGGCTGGAGAGCAGGTTCTCGGCCCCCTTCCAGGTCTCAGGGCTGACGCCTGTGTCCTCAGGCAGAGAGAGGGTCATGGCTGAACCTGCAGGATGGCAAGTGGAGGACAGCTGAGGCCAAGTCTCCCCAAGACCTCTGGGCAGAGACTTGTTTCCTTCGAAACACTGGGTGGGGCTCAAGGTGCCTTTGCTCAGTGGATGCATGGGACTGGACTAGAGGACTGAATGGAAACGTGGTTCTGTGCCCCTGCCAGCCTGGCATGTCCCCCTCAAAACAGACCAGGTGCAACTTAGTCACTGCAAATCAGTGCGCTCCTTCCCCAGAGGATGGCCCCCGTTCCTCCTGTAAAACTGTCTCCTCCTCAAAATCTTGCAGAATGCCCTTCACCCCAAGGGTCAGACCCGCGTCCTCTAAGCTGGCAAAAATCAGATGGTGGCAAGTGCCCTAGGAGCCGTATGTAGGCTCAGCCCTGCACCCAGGATGCTCTGTGGTCCCCGCACCCTCCCCAGACACCCCCACCCTCCTGGTCTTGGAGTGCTGGCTACTCTCTGAGGCACCGGCACTGAGAACGGAAGGCTTAGAGCCTGCCGAGTAGGGTGAGCCCCCACTTTTGCCTGACTGCCACCTGAGATCCACAGAAAGGACCCCAGCACACAGCCTTGTTGTCACCACCGTGAGGATAATGTCGTGTGTCAAGGAACAAAAGCAGCCCAGGACCTGGAGCTGGAGCCTGGGATGGCACCTGGCCTGATCACTGCCAGCAGGTGATGGCTGAGTACCTTAGCTGCCCTCTCAGAGCCTCTTGGCTGAATCAGAGCACCGTGGGGTTAGACAAGAGGCTCCTGAGGCTCCTTACAGGGCTCGGTCCCTAATGACCCACCTTTGGACCTATGGACCTCGCCACTGAAGCTTCCAGAGTCTTTACCTCCTCCTCCCGTGTCCCAACCCTACTGAATCTTGGTGACTGACAGCCAGAGAGAGCAAGTGGGCTGTGAGACCAATGACACAAATGTGCCCACTGGAAGGAAGAAGGACCTTCCCTCCTTCCCTTCCCCGAGGCCCAACCCCAGCCTTAGCTGAGAGCCAATTTCAGAAGCAGCAGCTGCGGCCACCACACAAGCCGCCTCCTCTGGCCACACCCGCAGGCTGTCCTGGACTCCAGCAGGTGGGTTAGATGGAGTGGGGGTGGGTGTGCACACAGGGCCCTGTCAGACACACTCACCGTAGTGGCTCATGGATGTAGACCTGGTGCTGAACTGCGGGCAGCCGGGACGCTTGAGGAACTTGCGCCGAAGCTCCTCCATTTCAGACACGAAGCCGCTGTCCTGGGGGCTGGCGTCCTGGTTGAAGTCTCTCTGGAGAGCGGGGAGAATGAGACCAGAAGGAAAGGAGGGGCCCAGGAAGCCCTCCACCCCATCCACCAGTGGAGCTCCAGGGCCTGGCACTGTGTGCCAACCACGCAGGCTGTCTCCTCCCCGAAAGCTGGCCACTCGATGAGGGTGGTGGGAGCCCTGCTTTGGAAGTTGCAGTCAGCTGAGCCTAGAGCTGCTGTCCACTTAGAGGGCCCTGGGGAGTGGGGCTGGCTCCCCAGGCTCCCCCCGCCCCCCACCACACAAAGTACCCACATGAAACTTGCTGCCTGCACTTTCTCTTCCTTATTTTCTCTTCCCCCTTTCCCTCCTTCTCAAAAATGCCCCTAAAGAAGGCTCAAGGCAGACACAGCATCTTCTCTCCCAGGCCCCATCCACCCCCAGAATCTCTCCATCAAAACCCACCGCCCGAACTGATTCAGGATGCCCCATCGGCCCTCCACCCTTGAGGCCTTTGATCCAGCGGAGAAGCATGTCATCTTCAGATGACTGTGTGTGGCAGGGCCGTCCCTGCTCCCAAGACCCCGTACCAGCTTCTTGTAGTAGCGGCAGATGGCCTGAGCCGACTTGCTGAGGGAGCGCTGCTGTTGGCGGAGTTTCCATTCTGGGGCCTGTTCGTCCCGGCTGGCCACCTTCCGGAGGACAATCAGGCCCTTTTCTATCAAGTTGGGCACCAGACTTTTCTTCTTGGGCCCGCTGGCTCGGATGGGTAACATCAGGAGTGTGGAGTGAAGGACAGAGGTTGGTCACCTGCAGGATGACTCGGATCAAGCCTGTGGGATTCGAGTCTGGAGCTGGGTGCTGAGGGAGTCGCAGCCCCAAGCGTGGACATGCAAGTCCAAACACAGGTGGGCAGAAGACCAGCTTCCCAAGCTTCACGTCCTAAGGGGTCCTGGGAGCAGTGTATGGCATCACAGATGTCTCCATAGAGACAGGGCCTGTCATCTGTCTTAATTTTCTGCTGGGAAGGGGAAGAAGAAGCTGCTTCCACTACAATATCAGGATGTTACAAGCACAGGAAAGTGCCCTGACTCACTAGCCACCCTTCTCCTGTTTCCTTTTTCACACCATCTTTAGCATTTCCCCTTGTTTAAAAATCTAACAATGCATCAATGGCTCTGATGTGAAAATTTAACTTTTTTGGTTAAAATCCACACTTTAGACATATTATTTTTTAGTTTGTTTGTTTGTTTTGCCACACTGCTTGGCATGTGGGACCTTAGTTCCCAGACCTGGGATCAAACCCACACCTCTGCCTGCTGCCGGCAGGGACTGGCATATTCCAACCCCCTGAAGGATGGGTTGAAAGAATGTAGGCTCAAACTACAGTTTTTAAAAAAAATTAAGTTAAAAATCGCCAATAGTTTGAGGCTACATTTTTTTCAGTCCATCCTTCAGGGAGCTGGAAAATGCCAGCCCCTGCCAGCAGCAGGCAGAACTGTGTTTTTAATCAGTCTCACTCTCTTTCAAGGGAACCAAAGTGTCTTCCCAGAGTCCAGTCCACTCTGGGTCACCCCATGTGTCCTACAGCTCAGCATGGTCTTCACTCCCACACCATCCGCTGGTCTGGCCCAGCTCAGAGTTTCAAAGGAAACTGGAACACTGTTTTGAGTTGCGGTCTCCTGCCTGCTTCAGTGTCATATGTTGCTGCTTTTTCTCCGGTCCACTGGAGGGACATGTCTAGACATGAAGCTCTGGGTTCTGCATTTCACAGAAGGTTGAATCTGCCATCTTGGTTCCCACTCCTGACTGTTATCTTGAGTCTAAAAGGAGAGGGTCCCTCTTGGAATCAGAGGCTCTGAGAGCCAGCTGGGACCTGTGTGCCATCCTGGAGGGACCTGTAGGAACAAATGTGTCAATGAGAGCATGAGGAGCAACACTGCAAAGGCTTTTGTGCCTGTCTCATGTCACTAGAGATAGACAGTACAAGGGTAATCCTGAATCATGAAACAAATGTAAGAAAATCAAATATATCGGTCATTCCCAGATGGTTATGTTAATGCTTTCTTTACGTGTGTGTGTGCTCAGTCCTGCCTGACCCTTTGTGACCCCATGGACTGTAGCCCGCCAGGCTCCTCTGTCCATGGGATTTTCTCAAGAATACTGGAGTGGGTTGCTATTTCTTTCTCCAGGAGATCTTCCTGACTCAGGGATTGAACCTGGGTCTCCTGTGTCTCTTGCATTGCAAGAAGATTCTTTTTTTTTTTTCAACTAAAATCCAGACTTAATTTGTTTTTGCCAGATTTTTTACCTCTCTTTATCCTTTTTTAAAAATTAATTTATTTTAATTGGAGGCCAATTATTTTAAAATATTGCAGTGATTTTTGCCATACATTGACATGAATCAGCCACGGGTGTACATGTGACCCCATCCCAAATCCCCCTCCCACCTCCCTTCCCATCCCATCCCTCTGGGTTGTCCCAGTGAACTGGCTTTGAGTGCCCTGTTTCATGCATTGAACTTGGACTGGTCATCTATTATACACATGGTAATATACATGTTTCAATGCTATTGTCAAATCATCCCACCCTTGCCTTCTCCCACAGAGTCCAAAAGTCTGTTCTTTATATCTGTGTCTCTGTTCTGTCTCGCGTATAGGGCCGTTGTTACCGTCTTTCTAAATTTCAAATATATGTGTTAATATACTGTATTGATGTTTTTCTTTCCGACTTACTTCACTCTGTTTAATAGGCTCCAGTTTCATCCACCTCATTAGAACTGATTCAAATGCATTCTTTTTAATAGCTGAGTAATATTCCATCATGTATATGTACCACAACTTTCTAATCCATTCGTCTGCCGATGGACATATAGGTTGCTTCCATGAACTAGCTATTGTAAACAATGCTGTGATGAACATTGGGGTACACGTGTCTTTTTCAATTCTGGTTTCCTTTGTGTGTATGCCCAGCAGTGGGATTGCTGGGTTGTATAGAAGTTCTATTTCCAGTTTTTTAAGGACTCTCCACACTGTTCTTCACAGTGGCTGTACTAGTTTGCATTTCTACCAACAGTGTAAGAGGGTTCCCTTTTCTCCAAACGCTCTCCAGCATTTATTGTTTGTAGACTTTTTGGTAGCAGTGCAGGCAGATTCTTTACCCACTGAGCCAATGCTTCCTTTGGGATCTATTAAGTTCTTTTCTAATTTCTTCTTCTTCTGTTTTGGTATCTCTCTGGTACTAGTGTCTTAAGTCTGTCTGTTGAGTGGTTCAGCCCTGGGGTAGGGGCAGCCTCCAATTCCATCCTGCTTCATTTGTTGCTGTTGGGTGTAGTGTTTTACATAGAGCAACTTGGTAAAGAGAACCCATGGTCTTATTCAGATCATCTTTCTCTCTCTCTCTCTCTCTCTCTCTCTCTTTTTGGCTGCACTGTGCAGCTTGTGAGATCTTATTTCCCTAACCATGGACTGAATGTGGGCTACAACCGTGAAAGTGCTGAGTCCTAACACCAAGGAGTGCCTCAGATCCTCTTTGGCTTGGTGATTTTTACCCCTATCATCTGCAGAGAAAGGGTTATCAAAATCTTCCAACTGTAGTGCAGAACTATTTCCCCCTTCAGTTCTGTAAATTTTGCTTTATGTGTTTAGGAGATCTATTGCTGGACACATATGCATTTAAGATGGTCATCTCTTTATCATGAGTCAATTATTTATCTTAATCAAAAACCTCTTTCTTTTATCTTTTTGGCCTTGAAGTCTGTTTTATCTGATATCTGATAGTCAGTCTTAACTTCTTATGCTTCTACTTCCCCCCATCCATTCATTTTCAATCTATTTGTGTCTTATATTTAAAGTGTATCTCTCATAAATAGACTATGGTTAGCAAGAGAGTTCCAGAAAAACATCTACTTCTGCGTTATTGACTACACCAAAGCCTTTGACTATGTGGATTACAGCAAACTGGAAAATTCTTCAAGAGATGGGACTACTAGACCACCTGACCTGCCTCCTGAGAAATCTGTATGCAGGTCAAGAAGCAACAGGTACAACTGGACGTGGAACAGACTAGTCCCAAATCTGGAAAGGAGTACGTCAAGGCTATATCTTGTCACCCTGCTTATTTAACTTATAAGAAGAGTACATCATGCAAAATGCCAGACTGAATGAAGCACAAGCTGGAATCAAGATTGCTGGGAGAAATATCAATAACCTCAGAAATGCAGATGACACCACCCTTATGGCAGAAAATGAAGAGGAACTAAAGAGCCTCTTGATGAAAGTGAAAGAAGAGACTGAAAAAATTGGCTTAAAACTCAACATTCAAAAAACTAAGATCATGACATCCAGTCCATCACTTCATGGCACATAGATGGGGAAATGATGGAAACTGTGACAGACTTTATTTTATTGGGCTCCAAAATGACTGCAGATGGTGACTGTAGCCATAAAATTAAAAGATGCTTGCTCCTTGGAAGAAAAGCTATGACAAATCTACACAGCATATTAAAAAGCAGAGACCTTACTTTGCTGACAAAGGTCTGTCTAGTCAAAGCGATGGTTTTTCCAGTAGTCATGTATGGATGTGAGAGTTGGACTATAAAGAAGGTTGAGCACCTTGTTTTGAACTATGGTGTTGTGAGAGTCCCTTGGACTGCAAGGAGATCAAACCAGCCAATCCTAAAGGAAATCAGTCCTGAATATTCATTGGAAGGACTGTTGCTGAAGCTGAAACTCCCAATAATTTGGCCACCTGATGCAAAGAACTGACTTACTGGAAAAGACCCTGATGCTGGGAAAGATTGAAGTCAGGAGGAGAAGGGGATGACAGAGGATGAAATGGTTGGATGGCATCACTGACTTGATGGACATGAGTTTGAGTAAGCTCCAGGAGGTGTTGATGGACAGGGAAGCCTGGCCTGCTGCAGTTCATGAGGTGGAAAAGAGTGCAACACAACTGAGCGACTGAAATGAACTGAACTGGGGCTCAGCTGGAAAAGAATCCAACTGCAATGCAGGAGACCTGGGTTCGATCCCTGGGTTGGAAATATCTCCTGGAGAAGGGAAAGGCTACCCACTCCAGTATTCTGGCCTAGAGAATTCCACGGACTGTATAGTCCAGGGAGTCACAGAGTCAGAACTGAACTGAGAGTCTCCTAATCTTGATGAGCTCCTCTGGTCCCTTTTATCTTGCCTCAGGTGGTTTCCTAGCTGCTGCTCCTCCATTGATTAGCAACCGTTTGAATCTGCCCTTTGGAAGTCAGGGAAGGTCATGTAGGCTGGAGTCTTGCCTACAAGAAATGGGGGACAGAAAGGCCCAGGAGCCGCACAGGGCCCTGCTTGGCATCAGGGGTGGAAGCCAGGGTGGCTCATTCAAGAGCAGCACAGGCCAGATCCTTGGGGCCTGTGCTCTTTGTGATGCGGAATGACCATTAGGACAATGTCAGAGATCTGGGCTAGAGCTGTTGCAGGAAGGGAGACCCCTTCAAGGGACCGAGAGCAGGCTCTTGCCTAACACTTGGAAATGAATTGTCTAGGAGACACACAAGCTGACAAAGCAAGAGACTTTATTGGGAAGGGGCACCCGGGTAGAGAGCAGTAGAGTAAGAAAACCCAGGAGAACTGCTCTGCCATGGGGCTCACAGTCTCCAGTTTTTATGATGATGGGATTAGTTTCTGGGTTGTATTGGCCAATCACTCTGATTCAGAGTCCTTCCTGGTGGCACATGCATTGCTCAGCCAAGAAGGGTGCCAGTGAGGAGGATTCTGAGAGGTGGTCG